TAGCCCTGATATTTTGTCTCATTTTCTAAATTACGCAGTAACTGCACTGCTCAGTGCCAGAAACCTGCATATGACCAGAATAAAAGGTCTTGCTCTACACTGACCTAAGAATTCCTGTGTTTGATGAGCAAAGAAACAAACTTTGCTGCTAGGCCCCACACTTCTTCTTAGGAAGTCTCTTTAAATTCAGTGAAGAGTTTGGTTTTCTCACTTAATGCAGAAGACATTTAGGATGCATTCTAAAACTTTCACACAGATAGCTCTACCCTGTCCTCTGTTCTTTATAGATAGTTACTGATATCAATTCACAGTGGCCAGGAAAGAGGGATGAAATTTTCAACCTCAGGAACCACTTTCCAAAAGTCCATAAAGAGTTACAAAATACTATTTACCTGTCTTACTGTCAAACACACATTTCAATGTTGCTAAGAATACTTCTATGAATTTACTAATTTTGTATATGTCTGACCTATTAATATCTAAACATAGTGTGAAAAATCTACTGTGGTTGCAGATGTGTTGATTTCATCTTTTATTTCCATAACTTTCTTTTCCCCAAATACTGTTATGGTGTCTGAAGATGACATAGCTTGAGCTATGTGTGAGGGTACATGAATGTAACCCTCGCACTGAGGAGGTTGAAACAGGAGGCTCTCGATTTCAAGACCAGCCTGGGCTACATAGTGAGATCAAGTTTAATCTGAATCATTCTTTCTCAAAAAGGCAAAACCAAACCAAGCCAAACAAAAACAATAGTACCACTTATGCATCCCTAAACTGAAATGCTTCAGAATCAATCCAAACTGAGTGCCATGCCAGTGCACAGTGGGACATTCCACACTGGGCAACACAGCACAAAGTGCAGGCTGCTGAAAACAGGGTGCACATGGCTTTCATCCCTGTGTGTGGGAACTGAACTCCACGTTCAGACCCCAGTCTCGCGCCCCTGTGTCTCCATGTACACGCACTAATTCCTGGGCCTGGCAAAGCCTGAAAGCCTCAGACCCCGAGTCCTGTGTATGCAGCTGTGGGAAGCATGCTATTCCCATGGCACTCTGCTCTTTGGTGTTGGCTAAGTGAGTTCTTCACAGCTGGGTCACATTTGTGCTTTTGCAGAGACCTCATTTGTCTGGCTGCTTCTCTGCTCCCTACCAGTTCTGGGTAGGCATGCTGTTTCCTCCCTGGGCCTACTGCAATTTTCTGGTTCAGAGTATAAGTGCTAAATGTGATGAACAATATCTGCCTGTTTGCTTAATAGTAGTTAAGGTGATAATTTTATGTTAAATATATTTTACAGTTAAAATGAGCATAACTTTAAAAAGTTTTTCTAATGTAACAACTTTCACTTTGTCCTGTTCAGGTTCCATCATTGTGACCAAATACCTGAGAAAAATAACCTAAAGGAGGAAAATTCATTTTGGTTCATGGTTCAGAGATTTCAGTCCATGGTCACTAGTTCCAGTGCTGTGGGCCTGAGGTGAGAGGCAACATCCTGATGGAAGGACATGGTGAAGGAAAGCTGCTTGACTCAGGGCAGTTGGGAAGCAGAGAGAAAGGCGGAGCCAGGGGAAGGGAGCAGAGGCCAGAGAGACTCTACAAGGTCACTTCCCTATGGTCCACTACTGTCTTAGTTACTTTTCTCTTGTTGCTGGGACAAAATACCTGACACCCAAAAATAAGGAAGGAAAGGTTTATTTAGCTCACAGTTTGTGGAGGTTTCAGTTCTTACTCGGCTGGCTCCAAGACAAAGTGCCACATGGCAGAGGGCAGCAGTTCGTGGAGGGGGAAAACATCAAAGAGCAAAGGGAGGAGCAGTGGCTGCAGCAGATAGCAAGCCCTCTCCCTTCCTTACACTGTATTCAGGCTATCCACCCCAGGGTGGATGTAGCACTCACACCCATAATCCCAGCATTGAATCATGCATTAATCACAAATTCTAAAAACCACCCCATGGCTATATGCAGCTTTGTGAGGGACATCTAGACACAAACCCTTACAACTACTTTCAACAAGACCCCACCTCCTATTTCTATTGCCTCCCAATAGTGCCATCAAATTATGGTTTCATCGATGGATCTGTCCACTCATGACTAGAATCCTCATAATCCACTTCCCAAAAGCCCATCAACAACCAAACCTTCAACACAATGAGCCTTTGGGGGAACTTTTTTTTTATGTATTTGGTACAGGATTTCAGCTTGAACTTGTAGTGATCTTCCTATTTTCAGCCTCCCCAGTGCTGGTCTCAGTGGCCGGCTCAGTGGGCCTGGAGGTGGAGCCAGCGAGGCATGTGGTGCCAGGGATCGAACCCCAGTCCCTGTGCTTGTTTAGGAAGGCACTTAGTCAGCTGAGCTATCTCACTGGCCCTTGAGGGAACATTTTGGCCATAACAATTTCTCAGGAATATAGGTGAACCAGCTGTTGTCCTTAATGAACTCCATGTTCAGACCCCAGTCTCACGCTCCTGTGCCTCCATGTATGCGCACATATTAATTCCTGGGCCTGGCAATGCCTGAAAGCCTCAGGCCCGGAGTCCTGGGTATGGACACCCAAAAGCACAGATTTATGCTGATGAAAAGAAGCCACTCTCCAAAGGTAATGCATTATTCCATGTATAGACCATTCTTAAAATGAAAAATTACACAAATGCAGAACAGATATTGTTAAGGAGTGTTTAGAGTGGGAAGGAAGTGGACGCAGATCCTTTGGTGAGTTCTCAATGCCGCTACACTGTTCTTCAGATTAGTCTGCGGTTATCTGGAAAGTTCATGTGGAGCACAGAGAAGGGTGCCTCACACGGTGTACCTTTGTGCGCTACATGTGGGAAGCTGTAGGAAGCTGAGCAGGTCACTCTACCTTTGTCCCACCTTCCTCTTTTCCACCTACTGCCCTGAGTAAGTACTAATACACTCATTCCTGGGGCTGGGGAGATGGCTCAGTGGAATAAGCGCTTCCCTGGCAAGCGCAAGGACCTGTGTTCAATCCCCAGTTCCACAAAAAAAAAAAAAAAAAAAAAAAAAGACACTCACTCCTTCAGGGTCTTGCCCTACACCCAGAGGCAGAGAGTGGCAGGTGGATGAGCTAAGGGGGAGTACAGGCTGTTTCTGGACTGGTTGAGGCTCACAGTCCAGAGGGCTTACCTGCAAACTGGTCCACAGTGATGGGGTTCAAATCAAGGTTTTAGCACAGCCTTTTTGCTGGTTTCACCTGTAGCTCTTAACTGACTGCCCTGATCTCATTCGCCCCCTTCATTCTGGTCTTTGTAATTAAGTTGAAGATGTTTCAGGATTTTTCTTTTGACACAGCTGACAGCCCTCATCAGAGGCTGAGCCCATTGGGTCACCCAATCCTGGACTTTCACCACCCCACCCCAAGCTCCATGCTCAATAAACCTCTTGTCTTTACATATTACTCAGCTTCTGGTATTTTCTTATAGCAGTGGAAAAAAGACTCATGAAGTGCCTATGCACTCATGAAATTATAAAGTTGATGGGCAGTCAATGGGAAGAGAAGTAGAGGCAGTGGATGGGGGTGGAGGAGTGGAGGAGTCCACTAGGTCAGTTTTAGACAAATTCAGTTGGGTCAAGGTGTCCTGGGTTCAGGGGTAGGTGTCCATATTCAGACCTGGTAGCTGGACTTGGGAACATCAAAGCAGCCTGGACTTGTCAGCACGTGGCAGCCACTAGGCTCCTGAGACTGGCTGATGACCAAAGCACATCTGTGTGTCCAGCCCCAGCTCTTAGTTACAGAGCTGTACAGAGCAGGAGGAGCCTCTCTGCCCCAGGAGCCACAGGCCACTGGGCTAGAAGGCTGCAGGCAAAGCCAGCCACAGGACAGGGCTCAGGGGGCCAGGGAGATGGCTCAGGAGAATAAGCACTTCCCTGGGACAGAGCTCATCTGGGTCATTTCAAAGAACAGGTGAGGAAGGAAGATGCATGCTGCCTTGGATGTTGGCATGAAGCAGGGATTTTGCCATGACTGGGTGTCTCAGTACCTCTGATGGCCAGAAGGATGGTCAAGGAGTGACAGCTGGTGACCAAGAGGAGGAATATGTTTGGCCTTATTCTGTCATTACGAAAATATAAGCAGGGGACCTGGCTCTGTCACCTGGGGACCTCGCCGGAGTTATCTTGGTATGCTGCCCCAAGTGAAGGACCTCCTTGCCAGCTTGCAGTGCAACCAGCTGCACCTCTGCTGTGATCCAGACAGGTTGAGTGTCCCCAGAAGGCCACGTATGGAAGGTGTGGTCCCTGGCATGCTGCTATTGGTAGGTGCTGGAGCCTCTGAGAAGTGGGGCCTGTGGTCCTCAGGCCACCTGGGGTGTAGAGGGCACCCCCCAAACCTCCACCCTCACCCCCTACCCATCCCCCCACCTGTGTTACTCCTTTAATTATTCGGGTATTTGTTACATAACAGGAAGCTAATACACTTGCTGGGTCAAATTTCATTCTGCATGTGGGAGACAAAGGAGGCAGCAAGGTAGTGGTGAGAAAGAACATGAAGCAGCCTTGTCAGGAGCGATACCATAGAATGACCACAGCTGTCACTCTGCATTCCAGAGGATCGTGGTCCCCGGGCCGCAACCACACCGCACAGGGCCTGTGGTCTGCCATGGTCTCTGGCCACATGCCAGGACCTCCAAAATCCTCACCGAGACCCCATGGGCGAAACCCAGCTGTGCCCTTGGCCCTCAGCCCGTTTTTCTCCCAGAGCAGTGTGTGTGAAGTCCCGGAGCTCCTGTGGTGGGCAGGAGCAGAAGGCGGGTACTGTCTGCTGGTCCGCAGGACCCTCCTACAAGCCCAGGAAGTGGCTATGGAAGGTGAGGGACCAGTGCTGGTGGAGGTGGGACGGCTGAGGATCCCGCGGTCAGCTGAGGATGCTCCCCTTCCCTCTCTGCTTCCGGGTCATCTTGAACTGGGCAGCCCTGCCCCTCCAAATGTTTCCCCTGCACCCGCTTCCCTGGAGCCAACAACGATAGTCTGAAACTGAGCCACCAGAAACCTCTCCTCCTTTTATTTGCGGGCAGTGACAAAGATGTCGTCCTAGCCAGGCGGAACGACAGAGACGCTCGGGCTGCGCGTCCGAGGCGTGCCGGGCTGTCAGCGCGCTGCCGCCAGGTGACGCTTCCGGTACAGCAGCGCTCGCCGCTTCTCGCGCTCGCGCACGAAGGCGCGCAGCCGCGCGGTGGGAAAGGTCACCGGCGCAGGCCGCGCGCCAGGCGGGCCTTCCTCCGTCAGCCAGGGGCTCTGAAGGCAACCGGAGGCGCATGGCCGCGCCCTAGGAGAGGAAGCGAGCGTGAGGGTCCGTGGGTGCGGGCAGACCAGACGGGAGAGAGTTGGGGGGAGAACAGGAGAGGGGTCCAAGGGGATCCCAGAGGCGGGGCGGGTTAGAGGTGGGAGGACGAACGAGGCCAGGTCTGAGCGCTGGGAGGGATCGGGGCTACGCGGACTCCTCACCAGGGCTGGACGTTTAGCGCGCTCCGAAGGAAGGCCACGGCACCGCCCGATAGCCCGGCGTAGCAGCGGCTCAGCCGGATGAGCCCCTTGCGCAGCCCCTTTTGCAGCTCGCGGGTCCCCTCGCCGCTCACCGGGTACTCCGCGCTCAGCCTGCGTGCGTAGGGAGCCCTCAGTTACCTTCCGTGGGTGGGCCCACTTAGGGTGAGCCCAGGCTCCAAGGTTGTCTTGGCTGCCTGCTTGGCACCCCCATGACAGCTGGAAAGACTCACATGATGAAGGCTGTCACACCGATGGCCCAGATGTCCGTCTGCGAAACAGCCCCGTGCCCATCCAGGAGCTCTGGGGCTGGAAGGGGGCGCACATGGGGGGCACATGTGAGAGGCCAGGTGGGTTGGCACCGGCATGTGGGCACAGATGGGTGGGCTCAGATGGGGAGCACAGGTAAAGACAGGTGTGTGGGCTCAGGTGGGGGAACAGATGGGATGCACAGGAGTGCAGCCACAGGCGAAAGGCACAGTTGAGAGAGTGGCAGGCTGCGGGGGGGGGGGGGGGTCCTGGGGTTCGGGGCTTTCTGCTACCTCCCAGACTGGGTGCCTGCATCTGCCTGCTGCTGTCCACACACATACCCATGGTCTCCAAGTAGTCCTTGAAACTCTCAGCAGGCAGCACCTTTTCCTGGTGGAGGCTCTGGGCACTGCCTAGGTCCACAACCTTAAGCAGGTTGTACTCTGTGATCATCATGTTCTCGGACCGCAGGTCCAGGTGCAGGATGTGCTGGGCATGCAGGTACTGGGTAGCACTCAGCATCTGCCACAGGTAGTCCTTCACCTGGGACTCTGAGTAGGAAGCCCTAGGACAGGTACAGGTGTGTGTGTGTGTGCGCGCATGCACAGAAATCTGCATCTCCGTGAGCTGGGAGAGGCCCTAAGCTTGCCAGGACGAGGTAGGACACGAGCCTTGCAACCATCTGCCCAGCTTCTCACACCAGCCTGTGCCACTTCTCACCTCTCAGCCAGGCTGGGGAGCAGCTCCGGTCCTGAGCACAGCTCCAAGATGAGCACCAGGTGCCGAGGGCTGAGGTAAGCAGCATGCAGCTGGGCCAGGTGTGGGTGGCGCAGTCTCTTGAGGGACTCATATTCCTGGAGCACTGCTGTCTTGTCCTCAGGCTGGTAGGGGACAATCTTAGCAGCCAGTGCCCGGCCACTGGACTTCTCTCGGCACTGTCGTACCACACTGAAGCGTCCCCTGGGCAAAGGACACCAGGAGAGAGAGGTCCCTGAGGAGCAGGGCAGGAGGCCATGGCCAATGCAAGGGGAAGAGGCATGAGTCCAGGGTGCATGGGGAGGGGGACAAGAAGGTTTCGGGGAAGGGGAGGGTGGGCACAAATCCCACCCACCCCACCAGTCCCAGCAGCTGCACCTCCGGATCTGCATCTGGAAGGCGAAGGTCTTGGTCCTGGGCAAGGGCTGGACCAGCCTCCCCCCACCACTCTCCTCCGAAGCTGTGAGAAGACAGGTAATGGTCAGGCAGGGTCTCCTGCACCCCCAGTTATCTCCAACACTGTGGCCCTTCCTTTCTAGGCACCAGACAAGGGGTGTTCAGCTCTCACACATGCTAATTTGTTTCTCTGACACGGGAGGCACAAGGGTGGGTTACAGCAGGCAGAAGGAGCCACAAGCTGACAGCAGCAGGGTCCTCTCCAGGAAGGAGTGGCCGCAGCACTCTTGGTCATCACTGTTCTCCTCCTCTGAGTCAGACCCAGGCCTGGCTCTCAGAGCCACAGCACAGGCTCACGGCTCCCAGGAGGTGGGGCCAGGGATGAGAGGCACTAGGGGACACAGGCCTTGGGTGTGGAATGCAGGTGGCTCTTTCCCAGGAAAGTGGTAGTCACCCCAGCCTCCCTGTACATTTCCTCCCAGGTGGCTCACCCAGGCAGCTCGGCCCTCCCAAGACGACCTGCTCCGAGGGGTTGCTGTAGGGGCCTATGCCTGCCTTGCTGACGCATGCCGTGCGGAAGGTGTAGATACCACCCCGGGGCAGCTTGCTGGTGAGGTAGCAGCAGTCGAAGACATCAGAGGCCAGTGTGGTCCAGCTGCCACCTGGGCCCAGAGAAGCCATGAGAGGAGTGGGGAGAAACGTGTTCAGATGTTCCCCCAGGGGCAGAGGATCCCGCCCGCACCTTCCACACAGCACTGTATAATGTATGTTACAGGGCCACAGGACTCCACAGGCTTCCAGACCAGCAGCACCTTGTCTTCGTACACCTCTCCAATGTCAGGGCGCGGGGAGGTAGAGGGGCATTCTGCAAAGGGCCCACAGGTGCTCAAAGTGGGCGCAGGACACCTTGGCTGTCCTCCCTCCCCTCAGCCAGGAGCCCCTGGGACACCCATGTCGCCCTGCCCACACAGGACCCTGTGGAGGGGTTAAGGTCCTAGTGGCTCAGCTTTGCTGCATGTAGCTCAGAAGACTGGCCCATCCCAGCTACCCTAGAAGCACATCCCATGTGGTATTTGGAGCTGGAGGCATGGCCATGATGGGGACACAGAACAGGGACAGTTCCTCCTTCCTCCATGGTGGAGGATGGGCCAGGCAGCACCATGAAGAGATAGAGCCAAGATTCAGGTTCCAGGGAGAGCTCCTTCCATGGATAGATGGGCACAGCGTTGTGCATTGCCAAGGGCTCTAAGGCAGTAGCCACAGTCACTCATCCTTATTCCTGGGCAAAATGTTCCTGGCCAGTTCAGGACCCTCTCCAGCTACTGGGCACCTGCAGCAACCATGTGCCAGACTTGCCCACCAGGAACAGGCTGCCTAGTGGAAGTGGTGCCCAGTGGCCACTTCTCCAACCAGGTTCTGTGGCTTCATGAAGCGAGATGTGGTCTCGGTTCCCCACCCACCTGCCTTCCGGAGGACACCCCTGCTGGCCGCTGTCCCCAGCAGGTTGCTCATGCTGCAGGTATACTCGCCCAGGTCCTCAGCCATCACCACCAGTATGGTCAGTAGCTCAAAGTTCTTCAGGGTAGAAGAGATGAGGATGCGTCCACTGCTCTCCACAGTAGCCCCATCTGCAAGGGGGTAGAGTGGGCCTCAGTTTATCTGGACAGCACAGCCTGCTGCCTGCTCCAAAACCATGCCTCACCTTTGCTCCAGGTGGCTTGGGCAGCTGGCTGGGCCGACACCTGGCAGGCCAGTGTTACTGACTGGCCGAGGACCACAGCCTCATCTGTGAGCTCCCTCAGGAAGATTGGTGCTGAAGACGGGTATGAGATGAGGCTTCATGGGGATGCCCAGACAGCTGGCATAGCCAGACCCCACCCAGCCCTCCAGGACCGCTGGGCCCTGCTCACCGTGGTCCCTGCTTTTTAGGCCTGACAGCCGGAAGGATACTAGGTTTGTTTTCTTCCTGGGGGGCTCTTCCCTCTCATGACCTAGAGGAAGGAGAGGCCAAAGAGGTTATGGTTGATAGGAGCCCCTATCCTCTAGGCAGCACCTGCTTCCTCAACCTACCCTTGCTCCAAGCCTCCCCCAATTTCCATGCCACAAGGAACAGGACAGCACTCCAGGATTGTGGGAACTGAACTCCTCACACCAAGGCATCCCCTGCCTGGCTGCCTGGACCCTAAAAGGCCACTGCAGAGGTGGAATCCCCTTGGGGGCTTCTGGAGATATCCACCTCCAAGCCCCTGCAACTGCCCTGCCCAGGGCTGGTCCTAGGCACCCAGGAGGAGGGCATCAGGCCACACAAGACAGAGGCCTGTGGGACGTGACTAGGGACTGAGCTGGCACAAAAGAATGGGGAGAGTCCAGGTGTGCCATGTCCTAGAAGGAGTCACCTTGCTGCCTGCCTTTCAGGATGCGGGAGATATGAGCCATGGACTCCTTCACCCTCTGACGCAGCCCATGCTCTGGGGGCTCTTCTGGTGATAGACAGCCTCCCGGGAACGGGAAGAGGCTCCGTGAGGGCGACCACTTGCGCTTCCTGCCCATGGCTGCCTCTCCCAGAAGGGCTGCCAGGTCATCAGGCCCCTCCTCGGTGATCTCAAGGCCAGCATGCAGGCCCAGATGGCCTGGCCAAGGCCACGTAGCCTCCGGGAACCCGGCCAGCTCCTCCTCAGTCTCCATCTCTGGGGATGGTGGCTCCACCAGCTCCAAGGACTTGGGAACCCTCCTGAAGATCATGAACTCAAATGGGAGGTACTTGATGTCATACAGGTCAGAGAGGTTGAGGTAAGCAGGGTCCACCTCAGAAATGTCCAGGGATATGGTGTCAGCTGCCTCCACATCCCCCGACAGGTCCTGAATCTGCACCAAGGAGACCTGATCTGCCTCCTTCCATAAGGGCAGCTCTGGGGAGGCCCTCAGGGAACCCCAGCTAGTCTGGGACTGGGAGTTCTCAGCTATGGCCTCCTCCTGTTCCTCCGAGGACTGGGACACTGACCAAGCCATCCTGGCCCATAGGGGACCCTGGCCCAGCATGCCTCCAGCATCCCCACCAAAGGCAAAGGTTCCATAGCCAGCTACACCCGCATAGCCCCCTCGCCGGGACCCCAAGGAGAACTTCCGGGTGGTTGCCTGCTCCTGGGGCCGCTGTAGAGGGGGTGTGGAGTCTGGTGGACCCTCTGCTTGCTGGGTCAAGCCTTCACCATACAGGGAGAGGTCAGGACAGGGTCTCCCAGGTAGGGAGGTGTCGTGGGGTCCCTGGGTGCTGGGCTGGGGACTTGCAGAGGTAAGGCCTGGGGTCGTGGCACCGGGCAGCTGTGTTGAGGGTAAGCCACAGTCTTTCTGGGGAGGATCACCCAGCTTTGGGGGACCAGCAGGGCAGGAGCATCCTCTATAGCTTTCCTGTGGTGGCCCATCCTGTGTAGTGTGTCCCCAGTCTCCACCAGCAGATGGAAGTGGCCCAGCTCCCCTGGGGTGTGCAGCATCCCCAGCAGAGGCCCCATGAGTTGGCCCAGACAGGACTGAGGATGGACACAGTCCTCCGATGCAGGCTCCTGGAGGTAGGTCTTGGGTGCTGGATGGGTCCTGGTCTAGGGAGCGGCTGCAGCCTGGGGCCTCACGGGTACTGAGGCTGGGCTGCCACAGGGTGGACTCAAAGGAGATTGCCCGGGTCACTGCGGCCTGCTCCTCCTCGGCAGCGGCCTCCTCCAGCACACGGTACTCCAGGAGCGGTTCCCGCAGCCCGGGCAGGGCCCGTGCAATGTACCCGCCCTTCAGCAGGTGCCGACGTCGTGCCCCATGCCGCCTGCCCCCTGGGGCTGCAGCCCCTTGCTCAGGGCCCTCCCCTGCCTGCTGGTAAAACAGGCTGCGGATGACGCTGTGCCGGGGCACACAGCTGGGAGGTGGGGGCCCCACACCTGGTGGGCATAGTTCCTCCAGGGATCCTTCAAGGGTCACACTGGCCTCAGCCTCTTCAGGCAGGCTGGCTGAGGACCGCAGAAAGCCCCGGGGCTGCAGCAGTGGGGAGTGGGTTGTAGGGGAGGGTGGCAGCGACCTGGCCCGGGCAAAGGGTGCCAGCTCAAGGTCTGAAGAGGCGGAGGAGCTGGAGGAGCCGCTGGCATCCGGGTGAAGGTGCCGGGCCATGCCAAGGGATGGGCTGTCAGGTGGGCCATGGAGCAGTTCAGGGATGGACCGCATGGCCAGGATGGACTTGTAGCTCATCAGGGAGCGCTGGGGCCACAGGACAGCACGTTAGGGGTGGCCCAGGGAGCCCCACCCAGTGGGGCCCTGCAGCCCGGGCCCTGCCTACAGCCCCACTGTCACATGACACTGGGATCTGGACCTTGGCGTTCCTTCTGTGAGGCAGCACAGCTCACCTGCCAGCGGCTGCGGGCTAGGAGGAACTTGAGCTGCTTAGTGTTGATGAAGTGGGCCTCCTCAGCAGGCATGGACGTCTGTGGGCAGCAGGGAGCAGCCACAGTGAGGGTAATGCCAGCTGTGGAGAGGCCTCAGGTCCCAAAACCAGATGCCGAGGCAGGCAAAGACAGAGCCAATAGTGGCATTCTGTCCCAGGCCTCCTGATAACTCATGATGAGGCCAGTCAGAAAAGGTGGACACCTGTGGGCCGGGGATATGGACCCCATCATGGCAGTGTGTTCTCACCACCCCCGCCCCTCCAGGGCTGTGAGGTCCAGCCTGGGAGAACTCACCAGGAGCCAAGGATGGGTAAGGCAACGTGCAGCGCTGGGCCGGGCCCTGCAGAGGACACCAGGTAGTCAGTCAGTGGTAGACAGGGCTGAGGGCCTGAGAGGGAGCTCCAGTGGCACAGGCACTCACTCGGGGGCCTGCTGCAGCATGGCCTGGATGAAATCCTGGGCATCTGCACTGAGGTGGGCTGCTGTGGGGCTGCTCCAGGATACCCGTCCCTCAAGCACATTCAGAAGAGTGGCACGGTCACTCTCACCCGCGAATGGGGATGAGCAGGTTAGGCTGAAAGAAGGGGGTTGGGCCTCAGCCCACACCTGGCTCTAAACTGCTCCTGCTTAGCCCAAGGACTCCAGGCCCCAGGCTCACATCAGAGAAAGAGCCCAGGATCAGCCTGAGGTAAAAACCCAGGCCAGGCTTCAGCAGGGGTGAGGGTTGGCCTGTATGGGATCCAGGTTTGACTGGCAGTGGAGACCAAAGCTCAGTCTGAGAGGAGATGCAGGGCTAGCCTAAACAGGGGCAGGCAGCTCAGTCTCTGTCTGGGGGCCCAGTCGGTACATAGATCAGGTCAACCCAGAGCAAGCACCAGCTCTTCCTGAGAAGGGGATCAGAGGGGCTGAAAGGAGATCAAAGCTCGGCTGGCACAACAACATAGTCAGTGTACCCACAGTCATCAAGCAGCCTCTGCATGGCCCTGGGCCCAGCCAGAATGAGTGGCTCAGCCTCCTAATGACATGGTACTCACAGGACATGCTGGGCAGGCCCCTTAGCAACTGCCTGCTCCCAAAATAGCTGCCCCAGCCTGGGGCTCAGCCTGGGTACAGAGGCAGAGTGCAAGGCCTTGGGCCACAAAGAAGGCAGTGTTGCAGGGGCTGGAGTTGGGCTGGCTCACCTGAGGTAAGAGATGACCCCCACGGCCCTGCGGGAGGAAAGTGCAGTGAGCTGCAAGGCCTAGCCAGGAGCAGGAGGCCGAGGTGAGAGGGCATCCTCAGCAGCTACTCAGAAGGGGCCTGCCCCCTCTGCTCACCAGATGTCGGAGGCCGTGCTCACGGGTGCCTGCCGGATGATCTCAGGGGACACGAACTCAGGGGAGCCAAATTTGCTGTACTGCGGCTCCAAAGGTGTGAGTTTTTGGGCAAAGCCAAAGTCACAGATTTTAATGTCTTCACGAGCAGGATGCACCATTAGGATGTTGGAAGGCTATTAGGCAGAGTCAGAGTATCAGGGCTATGCCTGGGTGTGATCCCCTGCCCCTAGGTCCTCTGGGTTTCAGGGGACACTTGGGAATCCATGAGGCCCACAAGGGCATCGGTGATCCCCAGGGTCAAATCAAAGCCAAGTTCCATCAGATGGAACTACCAGAAGTAGTGAGCTCCATGGCCTCAGAGGCACGTACGCTTGCTGGGGAGGCAGGACAGGGCCTGCACCTTCCTAGTCCCAGGTCCCAGGTCCCACTCCCCCCAGCCTGCGGCCTGGGGGGAGGTACCTTGATGTCCAGGTGGAGGATGCCATGACTGTGCAGATACTGCAGCCCCTCCACCAGTTGCTGGATGTAGACCTTGACCTGATGTACACAGGAATGTCCAGGTGAAGGCCACCCACCCAGCTTGCTGCTCCTACCCAGCCTGACACAGGTCCCTGTGGGCTCCATGCTAGGGCAACCCAAAGGCTAGGGGGCAAGGATCAAGAGCCACAGCCAAGGAGGGAGTCACAGGCAAGGAGATGCAGCAGGTGGGGTGGGATGGACAGAGATCTTGGGTCTCCTGGCCGGGGTGGCCAGTCACCTCAGCCTCGGTCACCACACTCTTCTTGAAGAGGCGATCCAGCAGCTCCTCAGACGAGCACCTGGCCACAGTCAAGGAAACATGGGACGCTTCCAGACACAGATAGGTGGCCAGACTGGGGCTTTGGATCCCAGCGGAGAGGGTGCTCAGGGTCAGGTGACAGCCCCAACCCTGGAGAGGGATCAGAACACACACATGGCATTATTGTGAACTGAGGGACGGTAGGGACTGGCAGCCTTCACCTTGACCTGGGCTGTCTAGGGACCCCACACTCTCCCTCCCTGGGCCCTCCAGATCAAGGCAGGATACAGCTCCAGGACGAGGATGAGGGTCTTCCGCGTCTCAAACTGGTCCAGCAGCCCAGTGACCAGTGGGTGGCTGATGGTGGCAAGGATGTCCCGCTCCTGGTAGGCCTGGGTGCGTGTCCTGCTCCGCAGGGGGATGAACTTGGCGGCACAGGACATCTTGTTTCCCTTGTGCTGCACCCTCTTCACAAAGCTGAATACACCCCTAGAGAAGTAGCCCTGTGAGTACCTTGCCATGGGGTCCCACAGGGTCCTGGGTCTCCGAGAGTGCCTATGGGAGGGTCAGATACCTCCCGATCTCCTCCTGGATCTCGTAGAAGGACTGCAGCTTTCTCCGGCAGCTCTGCTTCTCAGAGGCTGGCTTATTGTCACCTATGTCACAGGGCAGGACATGTGTCAGCTCAAGTGGCGGTGACACCTTAGGCCAGGCCACTGGAGCGCAGGGAACCTGCAGCCCACAGATCCCACACCACACTCACCCACAAGGACCAGCAGCTCTGCCTTGCAGAGCACCTGCCCACCAGTGTTGTGGGCTATGCAAGTGTAGACACCAGCATCCCCCTGGGTTGTGTCCATCAGTACCAGGGAACACAAGGTTCCATCCTGCCGCTGCTGGAGCCGGGCACTATCCACCAGCTGGAAGCCGTCCTGGGGGTGAGAGTGGCCTAGTGCCATCAGTCCATCCCTGGGGATCCGTGTACTGTGTTCACCCCACTGTACCAAGTGCTGCTTCCTCAACAGGCAGCAGGGAGCCATAGTGCCACTTGAGTTCTGCTGCCTGCACCACCCCATTTCCAGCCCAAGAGATTGGAAAAAATACACAACAGGTGGTGGGACAGGGGCTACAGGGCAGGGTTTGCCTCCCACACACAGGGCCTCCCCTGGTGCCCACACTGGGTCTCCACTGACCTTATACCAGGTCACTGTGGGCTGTGGGTTGCCCTCAATGACAGCCTCAAACAGTGCAGTGCCACCTGCCTGGACCTCCACATCCTCAATGGTAACTTGCATGGATGGGGGCCCTGGAAGTGGTGGGGAAAACTGAAGGTGGGATCCCTGGGCACCCACCATGAATAGGTGGTCAGCGAGGTTCTAAGACTACCCAGGGAGACAGCCCCTCCCTGTGACAATGTCCCACCCAGGCCTTAGCCACAGAAAGTGCTTTCCTCCATCCAGCTGCTGTCTCTCCTGCTGCAACCTCAGTGGACCAAGCCATCACCCTCAAAGCTGATGAGGACAGGGCTAGCAGATCCTGAGCTTGCCATCCCTCCAGGGCATGTGGGGACCTCTGCAGGCAGCTTAACCAAAGATCCCTGCCCCAGACCACTGTCCATACTTGCAATGCTCATGTCGGTGGCCTGGTGCACATAGGTCCTCTGTGCGGCCTCCTCAGTGACCACACGGCTGTGGGCATCCCAAAGCCGCTGCCCTGGCCCAGCCATCAGCTGGGCTGTGTCCTCCACCCTGGAATCACGAAGTCATTGAGTGGTGAAACACAGGATCTTGGCCCCCCAGGTGGCTGCCTCATGTGTCCCCACCACAGGGCCCTGCTGGCCAAGAACATTACCGGATGGGCACTGTCTGTCCCTGAGCCCCTTCAGTGGATGCCAGCTCCCACTCCAGGCCTTCTGGGAGGTTGGCTGGTAGGAGACAGAAGAAGTGATTGGGCAGGGTGGGCAGCTGGTGACACCACCATCACCAGCCAGTGTGAGGAGGCCCTCAGCAGGCAGCAGGGAGCCATAATGCCACTTGGGCCCCAGGACTGCCCCCAACTCAGTGCACATATGTTGTCCATGTGAGAGGCCCCATCCCTGTTGTCCTGTCTGCTGACCAGACTGACCTGAGAACAAGCCAGCCCTGCTCACCTGGGAACTCTCCAGGCCTAGCTGGAACTTCAGCAGCTGCTGAAGGGCACCCCCGCCCCCAGGATAGCCACCTTGCCCATGTAGAATCAGGCTCAGGATAGCCTAAGGGAGACTGAGGCCCGCTTCCTGGCACTAGTCTGGGGCATCTGAGAGGCACAGCCCACCATTCTGCTGTGGCAAATATGACAAGCAAGCCCTCTGGGACAGAGTCAGGCTAGCACAGGACAGGAGGGAGCGAAGCTGGATAGGGGCTGGCACTGTACTTATGTCTGGTTCTCAGCACTGGCATCAGTGACCATGATCACAATACTTGGGGACGGTGTTCCTGGCAAAGAACGGAGCCAGGACTGGGAAGCCCCAACCACCATCCAGCCTACTGCACCATCCTGTGACATCAGACTATGCCAGTGCTGGAAGTGGGGCTGTGGGGGACAGGAGAAGCTGTGGTACTCCAGGCCCCTGGGACAGACATGGCACCCAGGGTATGCAAGCTTGCCCAGCTACAAGAGGAGGATCGTGGCTCTCTAAGGCCATGAGTCAGGCAGGTGGCAGGGGTGCCCCAGCAGGTGGGTAGGGACCAAGGGCTGGGCAGAGACTTGGGCTGTGTGTCAGGGCACAGGCACGAGGGCTGGAGCAAAGGCGTAAGGACAGAAAACAGACAGCCTGAGGTCTCTGGGCTGGCTAGCTGCCTCCAGCCTGACTCAACCTTCTAAGCCACTGACCACAGAAAAGGCCCTCTCATAGGCCCCTCTGCAGGCACACCCCTACCAGGCTCAGTCCTCAGATGACAGTGCTCTGTGACAAGAGGAGCTGCTCCATTGTGGCAGGGACTAAGATGGTTTCCAGTGGGGTCACAGGACAGATGCGGGGGTGGGGGAGACAGGGTTTGGTCTGATCGTCTCTGCCTGGGACAAGCAGTCTACACCTGCTTCCTCCACCTCCCACTGCTAGGGAGTGCAGAACCCATGCTGGCTGCCATAGTAGCCCAAGCAGGAAGCCCCGGCTCGGGAACACCCACATCTCACAGATGGGGAAACTGAGGCCCAGTGAGACATAGGTCTGGCTCAGAGGATGGAGGTCCTGGGGCTCAGCAGTTCACACCCACCGGCTACACCTGAGGCTCCCACACCTGAAGGCTGAGGCCCAGCCCCCAGGGATGCAGGTGGCTCAGGAGAGCTAGGAACAGTGGCGGCCCCTTCAGAGAGGCCTGGCATCAGAGTAGGTGTCACCTCCTGGCTGGCTCCATCAGGGGTGAGGTGGGCAGAGTCCTCCGAGGCAGCCTCTGTGGAGAGGAGGTCAGCATGGTCAGGCCCACGTCTCCTGTGGCAGAGTTGGACCTCCAAGGCCACCCACCTGTCATACCCAAGAGCCACCACCCAGGACCCACAGCCCAACACTGTGGTACACCTCCTCTTCCCAGAGCCACCAGATTGCAGCCCAACCTCAGCCCCTGAAGCCCAGACCCCAGCACCCTCCATCCCCTGCTGGCCCCACACTGACCCTCAGGCTGACCCCTGGGCTGGCTCAGGGCCATGCTGCACTGCTCAAGTCCAGACACCCAGGGCAGCTGGGTTGGGTGTCCAGGTGACCTCAGTCACATCACCTCCCAGGGTGGCCCTCACCCACCCCACCTGACCAGCAGCTTTTTCCTTTTCCTTTTCTTCCCTTTCCCTGGCTCTCTAGACACCCATGGGTGCAGCTTCTTGATGTCCATGCAGCCAAGTGCCCAGGGCTGCCGACTACAACCACCTTCCCCTGCTTGAGGACCCCACATGGCTGGAGATGCCACTGTAGGCCATGCTCCACAGGGCTTGGGCTCCCATCCTCCACTCCAAGGTCAGCAGGACCCAAAACAAGCCCCAGCTGGACCTATCTGGGTCAGGGGTGATGCGGCTGTGCACAGACCCATGCATACGCTGGCCCCGCGCTGGCCCTGATGACGTGTCTCCTCCCCATCCCTCACCATCTGAAGACGTGGATCCACACACACAGGGCACTCGCAGACCCCTGGGCCACCCTGGAGTCAGAGGGCAGGTGGCCTGAGCTGTGAGCGTAGAAGTAAGAAGGAACCCACAGCAAGTACAGGAGTCAGTTTATTGTTCACAGGGCCCAAGACAGAAGATCACACAGCCCAGAGCGGCATGGGGCAGCCGGCTAGAGCCGCAGGACAAATGCTGGTGCTGGCCAGCGTCAGCCCCACCCAGCACCCAGCACCCAGAAGGGGATGAGGTCTGTGAGGTCGAGGCCAGGCAGCAGGGCAGGAAGGCTCATTCCAGGTCACACAGGAACTGAAGGAGTTCCAGGGCTCTTGCGGCCCCAGGCCTGGTGTCAGTGCACATACGGTATGGCCCAGGACACAGGCTATCCCTGCTCTGGTGGCAGCACAAGCACAGTTCCTGGCCCCAAGTCCCACAGTGTGGCCTCAGCACTGGGAGGGGCTAGGGCCCTCATCCCCACCCTGGCGGAGGTGCAACGTGACAGTCTCGCCCACAGTCCCAAAGCCAACTGTCTGGGTAGAGACCTCCGTTTTGAAGTTGCTCTTACTGCCATCTGCAGACTGCTGCATGTGGGCACAGAAAGACGACATCCAGGGGGTGCTGTCCCCTGGCCTGGCCTCCTGCACAAGGAAAGAGAGGCCCTCAGCCCCAGGGACCCAAGGCCCCCGCTGCAAGGAGCCGGGCCGACGCCCCAGGCTGAGCAGGACAGGCCGCCCGACAGTGGGCTCTCCAATCTCTCTCTGTAGCACTGAGACCGTGCATGGGGGATCCCCAGAGGTGTCAGGCACAGGGTCTCTGCAGCCGAAGGTCTCCCCTTCCTTGGGCACGTAATCCTCCAGGTCAGCCAGGGTCAGCGCACGACCATTATGAGTGAGGATCTTGGGGTCACGGCCCTGGAGGTCATGGATATCCTGGGGCTCCTCAGTCACAATCATGCCTCTGTCCTCTTCCTCCTTTCCTCCTCTATCCTCCTCCAGGGTGGCCCAGGCCACACCGCCCTGGTCCATGCAGAGGACCAGGGGCTTCCCAACACAGGCAACTGCTGTGCCCTGGCCCAGCCGTGTGTTGTTGGAGTTGTTGGCGTTGGGATCCACAGGCCGCATGACGAGCTTCCCCCCAGGGCTGCTGGGTGCCTCTTGGGTGGGCGATGTACCCTGGAGGCCTCCTTTCTTCACTCGAACCTCAATGGTCTCCTCCACCTCCACCCACTTTGAAGTTGGGCCCTCAGCCTCTGATACAAACAGTGTGGGCACGGCAGGCACCCAGCCTGGCTCCACCTGGGGCCTTCGGGGCCCGAGTGGGGATGGTGGCTTTGGGGCCTGGGTGGATGGCCCTGGCCTCCGTGGGCTGGCAGGGTGGTAGAGTGGCAAATGGGATGGGGACTTGCTGGGGGACTGGCGTCTTCCACGGGGACTCTTCACTACAGTGGTGATGGTCTCCTCTCTGGTGGGGGAGAGGGCCCAGGAGAGATGGACCCACAGACCCATGGCCTCCGCAAATGCCATGCCACATGTAGATGCCAAAGCCCACATTAATGAAAGCAGCAAGGGTTGAGGCTGCACAAATCCCTACACATGCACATGAGCCTGCAGAACTCTCGTTCAAAGCCAAAGAAACAAGGCACCAAGGCCCATGTGGTTAACTTCAGCTCTAGTCATGGCAGCAAAAGGCCCAGGCTACAGCCCACAGGCTGGCACCTCCACTGTGTCCACCAGTAGGTCCCGCCAGCTTAAGGTGGGACACAGCTTGTGCCAGGGCCATCCATCACAGCCCTGGACCCCTGAAGTACTCTGGTCTGCCCTGGGGTGGTCCTGATGCCTTCCCAGGTATCAGCAGGGCCTTTGGATGCTGGGTGGATTACAGCTAGACCCACTGCTTGGCACATTGCCCTGGCTGCCCCTGGACTGCAGCCTGCATCTAGAGGTAACACCTGGGATGGTCACTCAAGACGCCATGGCAAAGGCTTTGTCTCTCCTCCTTGGCTTTTGTCTAACTCAGGGCTCTGTCCAGGATGGCCCCCCATCTCCAGTGTCCAGCAGGACAGGCTCTGCCTCCTCTGGCCCTCACCTAAAGATGGGCACTGACTGCTCATGTAGAGGACAACCTGCTGTGTTCTCACAGTGGCTAGGGCATCAGGCCTGAGCTACAGCCTCCCAGATGTCAGCTGTGCTGCTGGCCTTGTGCTGCCCCCAGGAGGGCAGAGGGCCCAGGACAGGGATGACTACCTCTCTCCCCTCCTCAAGCTTGGAGGTGAAGATGGGCACTCTCCACACCTGGCCCAGACCAGGCAGAGGTGTGACCACCCTCCTCCAGGTCCTCTGCTCTTCAGTACCCATGTCTGTCACCTGGGAGTGGTAACAGTGCCCCTTCTGGGCAGTACGGGGACTGGCCAATGCAGAGGTCTGGCAGCTCCTACTCCAAGATGGTGCCCACCTACGATGGGGTGCATTGGGCTCAGTCTGCTCCAGGGCAAAAGCCAAGAAGGGGCTGAATCAAGACTCCAGCAAGGGCAGCTTTAGCCCTTCTCACAAGTCGAACTTTGTGAAGGTGCTGAAGAGGCCCTGAATGTGGGGCTCCCACCTCCACCCAAGGTCCTAGGCTCACAGCCTCTGCCTCCTCGCCCTAAATACCTCGGCCCCACAACCCTGAAGGTGCTTGGGGATGGAGGAAGGGTCAGCAGGTATGGCCCTGGGCATGGCTGACTTCCACTTCCCCAAGCTTCAGTTTCCTTCAAGGGCTGAGGGTTGTTATCCATCTCTGCTGCACTATTTAACTTAGATCCAGGTGAATAAACAGGCAACCTCCACTGCACTAGACCCATTCCCATGGCTATCAGGCAGGACATCCAATGCCCTCATTCCAGGAATACTGTCTCCAGCCAAGTAAGGATGCAGCCCTCTGTCCCCATGCCATCCACTTGGTGGGGCTCAAGCCAAACCCCTGGCTGAGTCGCCTGGAGCTCAGCAGGAGCTCGCAGGGAAGTGGTGAGCATTGGGCAGGAGTCCACTGGGGGCCTGTGCAGGTGGCGGAAGCTCAGTTCTACAAGGTGGGGGCTGTACAGGAATCTGGCAGCATCTGCAAGCACAGGTGACTGAGGGGGAGCAAGACTGTGTGTGGAGGTGCAGCAGAGGCCAAGGCACACAGGCATGGTGCACGAGTTAGTGGCATGCAGGCCACTGCAGTCAGGAGGGGGGTTAGCAGCACAGCAGCACTTACATGATGACGGTTTTCTTGGGGACCTTAGTCTCCTGTTCAGTGACTACAAAGAGAACAGTGGGATAGCGAGGGTTACAGACCCACAGCAACCATGGGCTCAGCGGTCTGCATAGCCTGGCAGTGCAAGGGAGCTAGGTCCAAGCCATGACTGGCCATGGCAGTTGGGCACAGGGCTCTGAGTCTCTCAAACTTGTGCTGAACAGCTGGAGTTGGGGGGCTGGGCAGATATGCATGCTACTCATGTGGGAGCTTGGCTTCTGCCTCCACCCATGTGGTGGTGGAGGGGACCCTGCGAGCATATGGTCCTACTCTCAGACATGTAAAGCAAGACTCAATGAGAGGATGTGAGTGGCTAGAGCCACGCAGACTAGGATGACACCAAGAAATCCTAAAAGACCAAGAGGGGCCTCTCCAGGAGTGGGGCCCAGAGTCCTGACAATAGCACATAAGCTCCTCCCAAGGATAGCCCTGAGAGTGACAGGAGAGTGCTGTGCCCATGGGCAGGTGACCTCACCCCTCAGGAGCCCCTACTCAGCATCTCTCCTAGGTTTCCCTACTGTGTCTCTTCCTAACAACAGGATGGGCCTATGGTTCCTGCCCTCAGAGGGAACTCAGCTCCTAGGACAGGACAGCTCATTCAGGGCCAAACAGGGCCTCTCCCATGCATCCTGAGGCCTCAACTCCTGCAGTTTTTGGGTGGGGCACTGGACTCAAAGGTGTCCCGCCCAGCCTGAGCAGCTGGGCAGCAGGCAGCCCATCCTAGCAACCCCTAGAGCTGCCCTGTGGGGAACCTGAGGGGGCTCAGAGACTCAAGAGGCACTGCAGGGACCATAGCATACAGCATCTGGTTCCAAGAGCTTCCACTTTGCTACACAGAGAAAGGCTTTCTCTAAGCAGCTGGTGTGTCTTAAACCTATCTTGTATATGCTGCATGTGAGTTTAATATATGTACCCTGGAAAGCTACACTTATTGTGCATGTGTGATATGCACACATACATATCTTGCATTTATGTTACATTGTACATGTATGCACATATATACATGTCTGTGCTGCATCATTAGTGTGTGCTTGCACCTGTGTGCGCTGCATGTGTCAAGTGCATGTGCCCACACATGTATTATGTGCCATGTGTACACTGCTCACATGTATTACACACCTATGTATGTATTCATGTGCTAACACATGTATCGGTCTGTTTGCAAGCTCAATGTATGCATATGTGTATCTCTATGCTCTAATGTGTGCCCATGTATTTTTGTATGTATGTGTTCACATGTGTCCTACATGGGTACATATGTGTATCATGTGCCTGTGTGCATATGTGTGTGCATATTCATATGCATGTACCTGGAGATAGGTGCAAGTGCTCACATGTGTATCACATCCATGTGTGTGCATATACAATGCTTGCATCATATGTGTGCCTGCTCGTGAGCATGCATGTGTGTACATGTGCTTGCACATGTGTATCAAGTACCTTGCATGCATGTGTTTGTCTGTGTGAGTGTGCTCACAGGTATAGCATTCTCCATGTGTCTGTGTGCATGTGCTTATGAGCCATGTAACTGTGTGCATATGTGCACATGTTCATTTGTGTATCTTGTACCTGGATGTTTGTGCTTGTTCGTGTGTGTGTCAGCTGCAAGTTCTGGACCTGGATGAAGGGGCTGGGTGGCAGCCAGCACCCTACCTACAGTGTAGGGGTGGGAACACAAGGGCTTCTCCTTTACACTCCCTCCTGGTCCCACTGCTCCTGGAATGGCAGCTCAGACACTGTGGGCTTGTGGCCCTGAGTGCCAGCACTGGGCAGTAAGTATTTGTGACAGCAGGAAGAGCAGTTGTGTGAAGCAAGGCTCACAGCCAGGCAGATGCGTAAGCAATGGGCCGTGCCCACCAGGCTGCAGAACGAGGTGAGATGAAGCTACAGATAGGAGTTAGAAAGCAGGGTCTGGGCTCCACCACCAGGTCTCCAGTGCCAGCCCCTGGCCTCACCAAGGTGCTCATGATGCATCTGGTCCTGGTGGCTCCAGGCCTCTTTCCACCTTGCAGCCCTCCTCCACATGCAGAAAGACCCCCCCATGACACCCAGTGAACATGGGCAAAGGGTGCTTCCCGACTAAGACGGGGTGCACAGAAGTCAGTGGCACAGAAGTAGGTGTACCTGGTGCCACAGGCACTGTCGTAGGCTGATGAATGTCGTGGCCTAATGGACACAGGCCAAACAGAGGGACATAGGGAGACAGGTGTTTAGCCAGGTGTTTAGTCCTGGCTGCATGAGAGACAAGGAACAGGTCCTTTGCTCCCCGAACACAGTCTCCATCATGGCTACAAAGCACAAATGCCTGATTTCTGGTGCTGAGGGAGACTGATCCCGTGGAACTCACAGGACTGGGCTGGTGGATAAGCAGGGTGAAGCTCCACCAGAGCTAGCCCTGCCTCTGCTTGCATGTCCCCAGAAATAAGAGGCTTGCCACCACCACCCTGGGCAGACCCTCAGGGAGCAGCTCCAAGTAAGCAGCCCAGCACAGATGCCCCCTGCCCTCCTCCACACACTGGCTGCCTATGCATGGCTGAGCCAGCTCAAACCCTGAAGAATAATGATGCCCAGGACCCCTTTTATCTCTGTCCTTTATGAGGTTCCTCTGCAGCCAATCCACTCCCAAAACCTCCATCACGGCCATAGGCCAGGCAAAGACCCACGTCTGTACATCCATGTGGGCCCCTCTTATACCAACAAACACTCTTCCTGCTGCCCAACCAAGCACAGGTGTGCTCATGCTGCTATCTCCTAGCTCTCAGCTTCTCCTACCAGCCCCACAGGTGCTAACAGCAGCCCCCTCAGCTCCAGCTCCAGCCCTTTCTCCTGAGACCCCACCCCAGCCCCAAGAAGTACAACCTAAGCATGAGAGGTAACATTCAGCATCCCTCCCCTGAATCCTGCCCAGTCCTACAAGGGAGTCAGCCTGAGGTGTAGCCTGGGAGCACCAAGGTGGCAGGACCTACCTTCCACAGCAGCCATGAGTGGCTCCCTGTGCTGCTGGTCCTGGGCCCGAAGCACAGGACTTTGCGTGCTCAGCTCAGCACCGCCCCGGGCTGTGCCCAGCCTGTTCACCAGCTGCAAGAGGACAGCAGAGGTGCACTTGGACTCTGCTTCTTGTGGAGCCCTCGAGGGCCTTGTGGGCACCTCGAGGCCATGTCAGCATCTGCAGCACCCTATCCCCACCTTGGCTGTGCCCCGATGGGGACAGGGCCTCCTGCAGTGATGGGTACTCCCCAAGGAGCATGGATCTTAGACTGAGTTTTAATTTTAGTGGACTTCATTGTAAACTTAAGCACTACATGTGGCCAATGGCAAATACATCAAAAACGGTCCCTGGCTTCCCATTGCATCCATGAGGCGGGGTCCTCAGCCAAGGCAGAAGCCACACAGCCAGGGCTGGGGGCCCTAGAGCTCCAGTGGTGCCTGGCTGTGGGGGTCCCCACAAGAAGCCCTGCTCCTGGCCTGTGGACACAGAGAACAGGGACCAGGTACTTCACCCGGAAATGATGGCAAGGGAAACCAAGAAGTAGGGGCCCTGCAGCTGCAGGAGCTAGAAGGCTGGCTGCAGGCAGGAAACAGCCAAGAACAGTCTGGGTAGGGGTGACCTCCATGGCTGTGCCCCCCAGTAAGATGCACCCCCTCACCTCCTCACCTCGCACTCATAGTGCCCCAGGTCCTCACGGCCGGCCGCCCGGATCACCAGCAGTAGCATCCCGCTGCGGGGCTCGCTCAGCATCCCATACTTGCTGCCTGGGCTCAGCAGAGCCCCATCCCTGTACCATCTGGAAGCCACAGAGGCCATGAGGCGAGGCCACCCCATGGTGTCCTTCTCAGGGCAAGCTGCATCCCCAGCACCCACTTCACAATTCAGCCCAGCCGTCCCCCCAGCCCACCTGATCTGAGGGTATGGGGCACCCTCGATGGTGCAGGTGACCTGGGCATCCTCGCCCTCCACAAAGGGCCCAGCCCAAACCTTGTTCACAAACCGCGGTGGGACTGTGGTGAGAGGAGGTGGCAAGTCAGAGGCAGAAACAGAGACCCAGACAAGCATATAGACACACAGGGGTGGTAACAAGAGAGAATGGCGAGGGGCAGGTGTCACACTGGGTCCACTATGTCCCACAAAGTGCCAGCTTGGCCTCTCTGAGACCCACCATACCAGATGCTAGGCCTGCAGCCCCCAGAGCACAAGCACCTGCCCACCTTGCACCAGGATCTTCCCCAGGGTGCTAGCACTGCCGGCGGCACTGGCTGCAAAGCACATGTACTGGCCGGAGTCCACTCCTGTGAGGGTGTCCAGGATGAGGGCACATGAGCCATCAGGGTCTTCAATGAGGATGTGGTGAGGATCCACCTCCACCGGTTTCCCATCTAAAAGCAGGGCATCACACTGTCATGGTGATGGAGGGGGTCTGGCCCAGGTCTCCTGCGTCTGGGTCCCCATCTGTTCTGTCACTGCCATCTGTCCATTTCCTGTCACTCCTCTCTGCGTCTCCACAAGAACACAGCCAGATCTGTCTCTGTCCCTGTCCAGCATGGACACCAGCCAGAGGGGGTAGGTGGGGGACCTATGCCTACAAGGACAGCCACGGGAAGCCTGACTCTTGATCACCCCTTTCCTGAGCCCTGTGACTCCTCAGGAACTCCCTGGTGCCAGCCAAGTCCAGCTCACACCATCCCAGCTCACCCCAGTTTCCACCCAGCACTCTCCTGTCCTCTTAACCCATACGGCTCCTGCCACTGGAGGGCACCCAAGAATGCCACAAATCCCGCCCCCCTAAGAGCAGCTCACACCCATCACCCAGCATCCAAAACCTGGACCACCCAGAAAAGCCCTTGTGACTCCTCCACCACCAAGTCAGGGCCACCCTAGCAGATCTTCCCTGGAGCCAGACCCTGAGGGTCACCCTGATTGCCCCTCACATGGTGCCCAAGCAGCACGCACACAGCAGAGCCCAGTCTTATAAATCACCCTCTGTGTAAAATACAATAGAAGATTTTTAAAAGGCTGAAAATAATGAAGAAAAGGTGATGAACCGTCTTCCAAAAAAAGAAAAGTGAAAACTGAAAATGTCACACTAATCACCTGTGTTTGCGACAGACTAACTTCCTTCCTCAGGAGGGGATGTCACCCTCCAGAGAGCCCTGTCTTGCAACATCCACACTCCCAGGCCTATGTGTCCACACATCCCAACAATGTCCATGGCCTCCCCACACCCAGAGCCTGAGTTCCACCGTGCCAGGAACCTCAAGCAGGAACCGCAGGACACAGATGCGCAGTTGCCATCTGCCCACCTGCATGAGGTAAGCTCAGGGCACTGGCCTCTGCTCCTGGACAGATGGATGTCCCAGATGTCTCGCTCTTCAGCCACAGACATGTTGGAGGGATGTACCCATCCAACAGTACACACCCATGAAGAAGGCCCAGGAAAAAGCACAACTACATCTAGCCCCAATCCTTGTCCCCTCCCAGTGGGCTGATAGGGAAAGAAGGGCAGATCTAGGTCAGCAGATCCCAAGGCAGCAGCGGTAAGGTCACGAGTGGCAGTGGACTACTGCCAGCTCCCTGCAGCTGCTGCCTACGGCATGAACACAGCAGCCTCTGGGGGCCACCACACTGACCAGCAGCCCCAGAGCAGCAGTCTCACCACACTCTGCCTGCACAATCAGTTGCAGGCATGTTGCCTTCGCCCAAGTCTGGTGGTCTCTGCTGTTTTTTTTCCTTCCCCCTGTATATTAGAGGTACACCAAGCTATGCCACATGGAACAACCAGAAACAAAGCCGCTGCCCTTGAAACACTGGGCAAGGCTGTCCCCTGACAGATGAACTCTTGCTGTACTGAACAAAAGCCACAGAACACTGCCTGGCTGTGCAACTGATCAGCCAGCAGGCATGAACCATGGGGCAGGCACGTGTCTGTGTGCACAGCCTCCTGTGCGTGTGTGTGTGGTATGTCTGTGTGTGTCTGTAGTGTTTATGTGTGCACAGCCTCCGTGTGTACATGTGTATGATATATGTGTGTGACTGCAGTGTTTATGTCTATGTGCACAGCCTCTGTATGTCCATGTGGTGTCCATGTGAGCCTGTAATGTTTATGTATACACAGCGTCATGTGTACATAATTGTGGTATGCCTGTATCTGTAGTGTCTGACGTGAATTTATGTATAAATCCATCTTTTGTATGTATGTATATATGTGTACATAGGCATGGTGTGTACTGTGTACCCAGTATATACTTTGTATATATGCACATTATCTCCGTGTGTGCATATAAGGATCATGTCACACATGTGTGGTATATGTGGCACAAACAGATAAAGCGTGTCTCTGAGGTTATATGCATTGTTTGTGTACACGCATGGGTGTGTCTCTTCGCGGGTGTATGCAGTTTGCACGTGCCCTCACAAGTCTGTGCATGCAGCCCTGCAGGGTGCAAGGCTCTGGCCCTGGGCGGCTGCACTAGGTGCCCTGACCTCACCCTGTGGCTGCCTCTCCTCGCAGACCCACTCCTTCCACTCATTTCCTCCCTCTGGAGACCCTGGAGTCACAGCCTCAGCCCTCTGGGCCCTCATTCCACATCTACCTTGGCCAGCAGCGTTGGTCAAACACATTGCCTTGTCTCAAACCGGGTTGCACCTGGGGCCTCGACAGCCGCACCTGAAACCATGCAGCACGCCAGCTGCCTGCTGTCCCCTTGCCAGGCCCTGTTGTCTGCAGTGGCTGCTCCCCTATGTGCTCCCACCTCTGTCAGTGGATTCACCGCAGTGGGCCAGTCCTTGAGCCTCCTCCTGGACCCAAAGTCCCCAGCTAGCCAGGGTAGCCTCTAAATGCACACAGGACACAGCACAGTCCCTGGGCACAGCCCAGCATGGTGGCAAGGCCCCCACTCTTCTCCATGTCCTCAGGTCTTCCTGAAGCACAGCCACAGTGATGGATGACCTCTGTGTCTGTCCCTCTGCTGCTCAGGACACCTCAAGGCTTCAGTGCAAAGCCCCCTCACAGTGCCCAAGGCTCAGGGTCTCCCCTGGCTGGCAACACCCCCTGCCACAGACAGAATGGGGCCATCAGGCAACTCCACCACTATGGCAAACTGAAAGCTCACAGGGTGACGCTTGGGCCCCGCTCGCTAGCCTCAGTCTGGGTCCTCGGCTATCGTAACCCTGGCCTGCAAGGCACATGAGCCTTCTAGGGAATGGGGGAGCAAGGCGAGGGTTAGTGTCTGCCTCAGCATCACAGTGGCTTTCTGTTCACCAGGCTCTCAGACACAGTGCCTAGAAGCCGTCCTGGTTGTTACTCTGTCTCTGTGTGTCCTCCCCCACTCACTCCTGTAACTTGATGTCACGAGCTTCTCTGCATGTCACCTGTTCCCAGACTGTCAGTGCCTGGTCACACCGCACCCGTCCAGGTCTCTCATGCCTCAGCCCTGCTGACCTCACACCCATCCTGGGCCTTTGCAGCCACCTCTCCCTGGGGGGCTCTGCCTGGTGCAGGCAAGCATCTGGGCAAAGAGGCTGAGGACCCCGGCCCCAGACTGTACCTTTGAACCAGCTGACCACAGGCTTTGGGGTGCCCACCACACGGCAGGCCAGCTTCACTGTCTCACCCAGCTCAGCTGTGCAGTCAGCCAGCTCCTCTTTAAACTCTGGGGCACCTGCAAGGACACACGGGCACTTAACACTGAGAGGAAGGTAACGTATATGGCCCCCTCAGGTCTACCCTGGCAGGCTGCCCCAACCCTGCCAGTCACCCCAAATCTGCAGGTATGGCTACCATCCAACACCCAACCCAGCCAAGGTAGGAGTAGTGCAGGACAAAGGAGGAGCTGTGTAGGAGATGCCATGCTGGCTGAGTAACAGATGTGGTTGCAGACCCCTCTCACCTGACAGGGGTCCACAGATGCCCCCACCTGGGGTCCACACGTGTTCTCATCCCCAGTGAGTCAGCTCATGTGAATCAAGCCCAGCCAAACATGTGCTCAGGGATTCTGGGAAGCCCCTGGAGAGCCCCCACAGCCCCAGTGCTGACCTTCTAGGAAACTCCCAGCTGTGGGGAAAGCCCAAAGCCAGGCCATGTGAGCACCCTAAACCCAGTCTGACACCAACACTCACTCCACACGGGCAGGGCCAGGCGCTGCTGGATGCCACAGATCTCCTTCACCCACGAGCTCTTGATGACAGCTGTCCGTGCCTGCAGCAGGTATTTGCGTACAGAGTCCTCACGCTCATGCCACACTTCGAAGGCACGGTCATCCCCCTCCACCTGGTCATTCAGGTCGATGCTGCTTAGCTGTAGAAGGGTGTAAGCATCAGCAGGAGGAGGGCTTGGGAAGCTGAGTGCAGGCCCCTGCCCCGTAAGGCCCACCTAGGGCTGCGGACCTTCATCATGGTGCGGAACACATAGCTGAAGGTGTCAGTGCGTGAGTCCCGCCGGGGTTTGCAGATTACCAGGTGATGGCGGAAGAGGAAGACGTGGCGGTTGTGGCCCTTCCAGGGCATCCGGGCTCCCGGGGCTCCCTCCCACACAATGAAGTGGCCCTGGGGAGGCAGGTGTTTGGTCAGTCTGCATACCCAGCCCCAGTGCGCAACACAAGCCCACCCCCACAGCCATGGCACACCTGGCGAATGGGCTCCCCAAGAGCTTCTAGGGTGCCAGGGTAGTTCTCCATGAGAGACACGTGCAGCCTGTTCTCCGCTCTCTGTGGCAGTGCGGACACCACGGCATAGGCTTGCTCTAGCAGCGCACAGTTCTGCCGGTTGCGGGCCTTGTTTCGGATCAGCTCCTGAGGGACAAGGGGCAGTCAAGTGTGGAGAAGCCCCAGCCCACTCTCCAGGCCCATGCTGCCAGCTCCGAGGCCCCACCTTCAGCAATGCCTGGTAGCGCTGTACACGCTCCACCGGCTGTTCCAGGTAGTGCTGCAACGGGAGTGGTGGGGGCTGTGCGGGGTCCTTGGCCGGCAGCATTTCCTCCACATACTTCTGCAGGGAATGGGATGAATGTCAGATGAGAGCACACACACCCCTGGCTGGGGTCACTCGGAGAATCAGGATGGCTAGGTGACACAGCTCACACCCTGGGCAGCCCAGGACACTGGGCTCTGGAGCATTGGGCAGGGCACCTTGTAGAACTCCTGCACTGGAGTGCTGACAACCACGGCTTCAGCCTGCACCCGGCCCACCAGGAACTCCAGGTACTTCTCAAAGGCCTCCTGGTTCTTGATGAAGCACATGGCCACATCATCATCTGTGTCACAGCACTGCAGCTCCTTTAGGAAGCTGCCACAGAAAACATATGTTTAAGGCTCCCACATGTACTGTGTACCCATGTATGTGTGCATACATGCATATGTGTGCTGCAGTATGTCTATGCCACACAGTGTGTTATGTTAATGTATGCTTACCTGCACATTTGTAACGCCTGTACACGGGAGATACATGTGTGTGTGTACATGGATGTGCAATGCACACCTGCATGCCTTGCATGAGTGTACAAGACAAGTATGTGAAGGTCTGTGCATGGGTATGTATGCAAGACATATGTGTGCACGTGTACACATATATGCATGTTCTTGGCACAGACAAGCATGTAAGGGTGTGCACATGGTGGGTGAGGGGTGCATGTGTTCACAAACTCCCACAGGTGTATGTGTGCATGCATGTGAGGTTGTGTGGCAGGCTTCCTGTGTGTAAGCTGCTATGCACATCATCCGATAGTAAACTGGGTCAGGCAGCATGTCTTGCCCATCTCTGCCTGGCCCTCAGCCTGCAGCCCACCTGCTGTGGAAGCGGCCAATGTCCTGCACATTGCGGAAGATGACCTCCTTCTGGCTGGCCACAGCCGTGGGGACATGGGGACAGCGGTCCAGATGCTGCATATGGTGGCTCTGGAGGAAGTGCAACTCGCCCACAAACTCCTGTTCCGAAGTGAGCAGCTCCCGGATGACAGTACTGGGAGAAGGCCGGCCATGAGGGGACTGGGGCAATGTGGCTGTGCCTGTATCAGCTCCCCTGGGGCCTCAACTCCTTGTGCTACTCAGTGGGGCAAGGCCTCCTGCTGCAGCTACCACTGCCTATCCAAGGCAAGTGAAGGGTATAGAGGCACCCCTTCCTCCACCCAGTGACCCTGCCAGTGGGATGTCACAGGACCGGGGCAGTGAGCTGCCTTCTGTCCTCAGCCTATGCCACCCAGGAATGACCCCAGCAGTTGTGGCCCACAGAAAAAAGCATGTGGAGCCCCCAGGCCCCAGCCACAGGAGCCACATTATGGAGACAGGCTGCCCTGGCCCTGCACACTCTCACCTGAGCTTTGACTTATACTCATCTTCAGACATGGCCTCCCCAGGGAACTCAGGGGTCTCAGGGGGACCCCACTCCGGTGACAGCTGTGAGGGCAGGTGGAGGTTAGGCTACAGCCCCACAGGAGGATATGACCAGTGACCACCCATCTCCTCTCTTGGCACTGGTACCTTGAGCCTCTTGTCCAGGTAGGCGGGTGACACCCAGCCCTGCCGGGAGGGGCTGGACTTGGTGGGCTTGGTGCGCACAAGCCAGCGCAGTGGGTGAGCAGCATCCAGCACCTCTACATACTGCCCCTCCCGAAGCACGATGGCATCTTGTTCAGCCCCCAGAGGCAGGTAGTTGGCAGTGACCATGTAGATGTCGAAGATCTGACAGGGAGGGTGGCGCACTGAGCAGGGCAGAAGAGGGACACCAGGCCACCAAGGCTCCAGCTGCCCTCAAGGATCTGAGGGAAGAGGGAACTCCAGGCCTGGCAGGCCCAGATTTTAGGGCAGGAGTATTGAGGTGACACACACCTCCGGGCTGCCACCCACAGTGGACACCAGGCACAGGGGCCTGGTGATGGGGGCTGGTGAAGGGGGCCACCACACTTCGTGTGTCCACATGCCACCCACCACACTGAGACCTAATGGGGCACTGCAAGCACTAGACTCATCCAAGTGCGTGGACAGGCCTCTACCAGGAAGCCAGTCTGCAGGACCCGACGGGGGCACCCAGCTCAGCCTCACGCCTTGGGAAGCCAAGGCCTGCCAGCCTGCCCCTCCACCCTAATCGCCCACCTCACCACGGGAGTCCCCATCCTCGGACTCTGAGGAGGACTCCTGCACACTGGATGAGGGCCGTGACCTGCCATGCCGGGGGGATGCAGATGGAGTCTTGGACTCCTCATCACTGTCACCTCCAGGCACCTGAAGCTTAGCTAGAGGGAGAGGGAACCAGGATCACAATGCCCTAGAAAAACTGTCCCCAACTGCCTCAGACCCCAGAGGCCAGGACAGAGCCAGGCCTGGGGGCCTAGCACAAGGGTTCACAGTCCCCACACCGCGGACATGGTCTCACCCTGTGTAATCTTAGCAGACACCATCTCAGTGATCTGTGAGGTGAGCTTCTGCAGGAACTCCTCTGTGCCCACTTCGGCAAGGCACAGGTGGCCACGTGCTTCCTCGGGCACCAGGGCCTCCCCTTGGGGGGGCACACAATTACCCAGCATCCTGCAGGGCAGCCTCAGCTGCAGGCCAACAAGGGGCTACCCTACAGGAGCAGCAATGCTTGGCCACACAGGGCCGGAGCCAGACTGGCTCGTGAGCATCTGGGTGGGCTGAGGTGTGGACAGAAAGGGTGGTGGGTAGGAGGGATCAGGGCTGGCCAGAGGGGCGGTGGGTGACCAGGGTAGCGGGCACTGCCAAGAGACAGCAGGTGGCTGGCGCAGCTGCAGGGTGGAGGGCGAGGGATCAGAGCACAGAGCCGAGAGAGGGTCAGACCCACCATCAGATTTGTGCTGTGTCTACCCCCAGACCTGGTACCTAGGCACCCACCAGCCTGTGGGACCTGACCTGTCCCAGGTGCGCACAGGTCAGAAACAGCTCTAACCCAGACCAAGGCCGGAGCTCACCCCTGAGAAGATGGACCCTGACCCAGAGCCCACAGCCAGCTGGTCCTGGAGGCTCTAGACCTGGGCAGCCCTCACCTACACTCCCACCAGCACAGGGCTCGAGTGCTCACCCTTCCCATACCTTTCCTCTGCCCGGCTGGGCTGGTGACACCCACAGACTCTGACATCTGTGCAGAGATGGCTTGAGTGGTCCTGAAAGAAAGGGGCATCCTGAGAGGCTGGGGTGTATGACAGCCCACCAAGGCTTGGGGCAACAGGTCAGGATGCAACTGTAAGGGTCCCTGTGCCAGCAGGTTCCCAGGAAGTCCCCCCATTACAGTGTGGAAACTGAGGCACAGAAGGCCTGCTTGGGAAGGGTGTTCCTATCCTTATCCTAGCCCTTGTAGTCTGGCCAGGTCCCTACTCACCCCTGCAGGAAAGAGGAGATGAGGGCTGCCTTGGCTTTCTCTGGCTCCTCCTCCCGGGGCCCTGTCAGGAGAGCACAGACCTTCAGGCGAGGCCCCCGACCCAAGCCCAGGCCGCCCTGCTCAGCTCCCAGCCGGTGACCACACTGCCACAAGAGGGGACAGGGATGGACCCAGGAGGCTGAAGTGTATCCCAAAACTGCTGTGCTGGGGGCCAATCTGTTCCTGAGGCCCAGACAGGTCCCAGGCCAACAGGGAGAAAGACTATACCCCAATGTTGCTAATACCACCCCCACCCCACAACCCACCCCACTCACGGCCAGAGACATGCAGACTAGCAGAGCACAGAGCCTGGCCGGCAGCGCTGGACACAATGCAGGTGTAGATGCCCTGGTGCTGCGGGCCCACATCCAGCAGGACCAGGCTGTGCTGCTGTCCCGAGCTGGCCATTGTGTAGCCTGGAGTGCAGGGACTGATCCACAGCACACCCCTCTCCATTTCCTCCCGGAGCCAATGCACAGTGGGGACTGGGCAGCCTGGGAGGGAAGCAGGAACCCCATGGGAGTAGATCCAGGTCTGGCCTCCCAGGGACACAGCGTACCCTGGGCAGGACCCACCTGACCCCAGAGCCCAGGGTGGCTCCAAACCGTGCCCCCCGCCCCCCTCTGGAAGATAGGTCCAGCACCTAGTTCCAGGGACTGCAGGAATCAAGGTCTTTATGGGAGTGCTATTCCTGACTCTCTGGGAGGAGGTAGAGAGTTATCACCCCGAAAATCACCTACCTTCTACCTTCACAGAAAACGTGATGCTGGAACCTTGCTTCACCTTCTTGGGGGTGAATTTCTCCAGGATCCGAGGTGGAACCAGCTGCTCATGAACATCTGGAAGGTGTAGGGCACTCACTAGAGGCACCCCAAGAACCTCCACTGTGCCTCTGGCCCAGGATGGCATCTAAGCCTACCTACCAGGGCCACTTACCTAAGGCCAGCTTCTCCTCTGGCTCCTCAGGCCCTGGAAGATACAGGGGCCAGACATCAGCGGCACTGCCCCCTCAGCCACAGGATGCGCCGCAGCACCATGGAGCCCCAGTTCGTGGGCAGATGCTCCCTACCCCTGGCTGAGACATCAGCTGGTGGGCCAGAACAGGCAGCAGCACCCACCCACCCCTATAGGGACTGGGGTCTCAGCTGGAACTATCCCATGCACACTCATGCATGTGGCAGCCAAGGGTCAGTCACACTTGTGAAGCAGGGTAGACCTAGGTCACACTTGGAACTAACTTCCAGTGACAAGAGGAAAATGTGGACCTTTCTTTGCCAAAGTCCTTTCTCCATGTGGTTCCACAAAGGGGCCTACCCCTCTCCCAGACACCTGCCCACTCCAGCCACAGTGATGCTGCCCACGGGGGACACTATCAGAGGGCTACAGCTCTGCCTGAGCCCTGGAGCACCCACCACAGACCAGCAGCCGGGCTGATGAGTAAGCAGCGCCTATGGCATTGCTGATATAGGCTGAGTACTGGCCAGTGTCCTCCCGGGTGATCGTAACAATCTCCAATGTGTGCAAGCTCTTCTTATTGGTCATGCGGACATGGGTAGATGGGGTCAGGGGTTGACCATCCTTGAACCAGTACAACCTGGGGGCTGGGTAGCCTGGGAAGCAGAGGGCAGCAGTCAGTACAGGGCCACCTCCTCATGGGCACCACGTGTCCAAAGGAGAGAGCCCTGTAACCACCATGTCACTGTCTCCTTGCATCCTCCTACATGCCCACCTGAGTCCACTGCCCATGTCCCAGCCCTTACCTTTCACCTTGAGTTGAAACTTAGCCAGGTGTGTGCCTACAGCCACCCGCAGGTCCTTCAGCTCCTCTACCACCTGAGGCAGCTGCCCCTCATCTGACTCTGTGCCCTCCTGTTCCCGGCTGGTGGAAGGACAAACACAGGGGCAGTCAGTGAGTGGACCAGGGAGAGGGCCAGGAGGGCCACAGAAGTAGAGGTCAGAGGTGGGTGGAATCTGTGGTTTAGGGCAGAGGGACAGAGGCCACTAGGCCTGATGGGAGGCTCCAGGACCAGCTGGATCAGGCCACACCCCATCGGCTGGGCACTATAGGTCCTGACCATCAGCCTCTACCATCTGCGAGACTGCCACCCAGCCAGGTGTCTCCAGTCCCCAAGCAGCCCCACCTGGACAGGTATCCCTGGGCGCTGAAGTAGGACGAGGTCTCTGTGGCATCGGCTGCAGTATCGTAGTCTGTGCTGGTCACTGGGGAGGAAGGGAGAGCTGGAGGTAGCCAAGGACAGGGCTGAGCTGGGAGTCCCTCAGCCCAGTGTCTGGGAGGAGCAGCCACCTATGGTTGCCCCAGGGTGGGTCCCAGCCCATGGCTTACCACCAGCCCACCAGACTGTCACTGTCACAGAGGCTTCCTAAGCACCATGCAGTGACAGTGAAGGAACTTCATGCTCTATTCTACCAGCCAGGAGGCTGGAGAGATAGCAGAGACCTTGGATCTCAGGCCATGTCCACAGCAAGGCCTGGATACACCTCTGCGATGGGCACAGCCTTTGTGTCCTCCACAGACTGATCTTAACATTGACCCCTGGCTTTGCCATGAGGGGATCTTTGGAAGGGGTGAAGCCCTAAAGTGAAGCCTTAGAACCAGGTCTCACAGAAAAGTGGGCATGGTGGTGCATGCCTGTAATCCTAGCACTCAGGAGGCTCAGCCCAGACTGCACTGTAAGGGCCCCATCTCAAGACAAAAAGCAAGAAGGCTGGGCATGTGGATCAGTGGTAGGCAGCAGAACGTTTGTCGGCATGCTCTGAGTTCAATCTCTAGAACCATGGTAAAATACAACAAAAACCACAAACTTAAGGAAAACGATAAACCAGAGTTCTAAGACATTCCATTAACTTTAAGGACAATGGAAATGATATTATAGTACAGCAAAGAATACTGTGATTAAGTCACGGAACACCAGTAACAAAAACTAAGATCCCTTGGCCCCTTTCCTGACAGCCCCAGAGGGTACTCTGTCTTGTTCTCTGTTGGGAGCCCCAAGAAGCTAGGAAACTGATAAAATGTGTGTAGGTAGGATTGGGCCTCAGGCCTAAAGCAAACAAGATACCTCAGTCCTGAGAAAAACATCCTGTTGGGTTCAGACCAGCTATTAGTCACTAAGCAATCTCGTGTCATGTGTTACAAACAGCAAAAGTATAAAGGATCATTTTGTTGTTCGTGGAGTTAGTCTTGTCCATCAGGCAGACTAGCGACCACCTAGCCCAGCTTTTGTCTTCTTGTCTATCTTTCTCATTCCTGCTGGCGTGTCTCCCCGGGTAGAACCATTCTCAGTAAGACCAGCGGATCCCTACAGGTTTCGGCTCCTGGGAAATCCTCACTGGAGACACGAGGTCCCAACCCTGCCTGGGCAGACACCTGCACCCTAATCCCACCTGGGCAGCACTTACACTCTACGCGGAGCTCAGCCTTGGTAGAGGAGACGCCTACGCTGTTCTCAGCGAGGCAACGGTAGACACCCATGTCTGTGGGCACCACGGCGGTTATGATGAGCTGGTGGCCACCCTGCTGGTCCTCATTGATCATGTAGTGGTCGTCCTCCTCCAGCAACTTCCCATCCTTGAACCAGCGCACACTGGGCAAGGGCTGGCCTATCACCATGCAGTCAAAGCTCACAGGGTACCCATCCTGCACCTCTTGGTTCTGCAGCTCCGTCAGGAACATAGGGGCTGAGGGTTGGCATAGGCAAACCCAAGTCACCCTAGGCAGGTGATGACCTCAGCGGCTCTGGCCAACACCTAGCCCAGGCGCATGCATAACATGCAGCATTCTCTAGCTCATCTTCACGCCTGCAAGCAAAAGGGGCTAAGGCTGCCTGCTGACTTCTCCCTTCTCCCCGCTAATTATTCCTTCTCAGACTCCAGGTTTCCACTACCAGAGGCAAAGGGATGGAGGAGAGGAGCAGGCAGGAAAGGTGATGGCTGTGTGACCTGAGAGGTCTCAAGTGTGGAAGTGCTCAAAACCCAAGAGAAGCTTCCGGCATCAGGAAGCTTAGGGTCAGCACCTAGGACCTGCTAATGTCCCAGAGATGTGTAAGTGCACGTTACATGGGACAGTTATGTTCAACTGGGGGGGGGGGCAGGGCAGACCACAAGGAATCCTCCTTTTATTACACCCCAAAGTCTTATGAAGGGAAACAAATCTGCAGGAAGCAGCTGCTCGTGTTCTCATCGTAAGAGAGGAACCTGAGGCTCAGAGGCTGACGCAGCCGCCCCAGGGCCAGCACCCAGTATCCCCCGCAGCACTCTTGGGACTGACTGCAGGAGCCACTGCTTCCAGACACTGCCAGCCTCCCTTTCTTCCCTCCTCAGCCCCCGCACTGAGTGTCAAGGCTGCTGCCCACTCACCAGCATTAGAGGGCAGCAGGCCAGGCGCTGGCTCCAGGGGCATGGCAGGGAAAGGCGCTGCCTTGCGAATGTGCATTTCCACCACCCGAGGCCCCTGCTCCATGAGGCTGATGTCCACCTGGGTGCCCATACTGGTGAACATGTCCTGAAAGCAGGTGGCAGCCCGACGGGCCTCTTCAAGGGCTTCAAAGCGGATGCAGATGAAATGTTCATCCTCACGGTAAGTCTGCCCATCAGGCTCCTCGGGCTCTGCAGGGCCCTCGTCTGCACTGAGGAAGAGCTCCTCGTCTGAAACCTCAGCCGGGCCCTTGGTGCGGAAGAGCCAGTGCAGGCGCCGTGTGGCCCGGCGGAAGGCTTCATCCAGCTCAGGCCCTGAGGAGCTCTCAGCCTCACTCTCCGTGCCACTGACTACCACGTAGGCACTATGGCTCACTTGGCCGAACTTGCTGCTCACCTGACATGTGTAGTGGCCAGCATCCGTGTGCCCCAGGCCAGTGACCAGCAGAGAGCAGGTGCCATCCCCAAGCTGGTCAATGTGGTGGTGTCGCCCATCTGTCAGCTCCATGCCATCCTTCAACCAGCGGGCCTGAATATCTGCCTTGCTGGCCACCACACACTCCAGCCGCAGGTTATCACCCACCTGTGCTTCCGTGTCCCCAAAGGTGTGGGAGAAAACAGGCCCTTCCTGCTGCTTCATCTCCTTGCGGACCTTGTAGCCCTTGAAGGCAGCCTGGATCTTCACAGCCGCCTTGTCCATGGGGGGGTCGCCCAGACCCTCAGCACTAGAGTCTCCCGGAGGTGAACACACAGTGGTGGGCTGCTCTGACTGTCTCTGGGGCTTCACAGAGGGGGCAGCAAGGGGCCCAAGCTGGGGGCACAGAATGCAATGTCACACTAGGCAGGTTGCAGCATCAGAGCCCAGTACTCTGTCCTGTCCCCACCCACGGGCAGCCACACAGGCATCACTGAAGACCAGGTACCCATAGGCCCCTCCTAACACGGCTGTGAGGAAGAAGAGGAGCCAGTCTCAGTTCTTCAGAGAGCTTCAACAGCAGCACAAGAGCTGTGGATGTGTGTATAGAAAGTGCATGTATACCCAGAAAGACAGACGGGCAGGTGAACGCAGGGAGGCTCAGCAGGCAGAGGGCAGCTGAGTGGGCTGAGGAAAAAGGCTTGAGTAGACTGGCCAGTCAGTAAATGGATGGAAAACAGTGGAACATGGATGAGTGGATGGCTGCGCAGATGTATAGGCAAATCGACAGATAACCAAACATGAAAGTACAAAAGGGAGGAAACATGGATGCATGGGAATGGGATGGATGGGTGGGCAAACAGAGGAACAGACAACTGGATGAACTAGAAAACTGAAAGGGTAGAGAAATAGTAGACGGACGTAGGGGACAGTCCAACCAACAGACTGGTGCATACTCAGTTACAGATGCGGTGGATACAGGAGTGATAGATGGCAGGTGAGGAAATGGACAACCTAACAATGGACAGATGAGTAGAACAATCATGGATGGGTAGACGGATGGGGACAGGCTAAGTGGACAGATGAAAGACAGTGGGAGGGGCCGGGGAGATGGCTCAGTAGAATAAGCACTCCTCCTGGTTCCGCCAGTTCAATCCCCGGTTCCGCCAAAACAAAAAAGAAAGAAAGAAAAACAGTGGGAGATCACAGACAGAGTGGATGAGGGGCAGATGGACTGATGGATGGCTACAGGTGGGACAAGCTCACCATACTGGCTGGAACGGGGGCCCCAGGCCTGCCAGCCTTCTTGAGGTAGGTCACCAAGGAGGGTGTGCCTGCCCGAGACTCATCATCCGAGCTGGTGTGTGAGAGGTCAGCCTCTCCAGTGCGAGCTAGCTCGTCTGCCGTGGAGTAACCCTCAGAGAGGTCAGGTGCCACCTCCTCTGCCTCCTGCTGCAGGCTCCGCATGCGGCTGTCCTCCTCGGGCAGCTCACTGATGGAGTCCAGTGTGGGCTCGCGGCTCAGGCGGCGCTTCCGGGCCAGTGCCTCCCAGAGCAGGTGCAAGTCTCCCTCCTGGGCTGCCTCTGGGGGCAGGCTGGGCTGCATGGGGGCCTCATCTCCAGAGCTGGGGCTCAGTGCCACTGAGGAAAGCAGGAGACTAGTCAGTAGGCTAGGGTGGGCGTGACCCCAGTCCACCTTTGCTACAGATCAGCACAGGCCCTGCGCTGTGGCTTCCATGGACGCGTGCTTACACCTGGCACCAGAGGCGTCCGCAGGGTCTTAAAAGCTCTGTACCCCAGCCCTGGCAGTACTTCCAAGGCCAGCTCATCTGTCTCCTGCATGGGCACATGATGACCAAAGGAGACAGATCTGTCCAGTCCAACAAACGTTATGTCAGCCCTCCCTCTCCCAGCTACTAGAAAAGAAGGCAGAGAGGCACACAGGACTTATTCTGCTATCACCAGGGAGGAGACAGATGCCCACAGCTGGTGTAGGGACAGACTTGGTGGGGAGGGGCACTCAGATTAGGGACGGGGTCCTAGGATCAAAGAGTGGGCCAGAGAGTTGGGGTGCCTCAAGGTGGGGAAGAGGTGAGCAGATCGAATGACAAACAGACTCATCACCCAAAGCAGGCTCAGTGAGCTGGGGTGATGTGGGGGGAACACCAGCACTTTTGCAAGGCCATGAAGGGATTGAGGGCATGACTGGAAGCAGAGGGACACCGGGGCTGCAAGCACAGAGGGAGGGACACCTGGCAGGGTTTCCTGTGGGGTATCTCACAGACCTCGGTCCTTCCCCAACATCCCAAACCCAGGATATACCCTGGAAGGTGGCCACTGTGGTGTCCAGGCCCCGGGAAGGACTACAGCAGTACTCTCCCTGGTCTTCAGCCTTGAAGTCCCTGATCACCAGCATCTGTCGCTGGCCATGAGAGATGATCTCAAAGTGTCCACTGGGCTGGATGTGCTCAGTCCCCTTGCACCACACAACCTCCCCAGCCTCAGCCACCTCCAGTTCCAGACAGACATCCTCACCAGCTGCCACCTGCCGGGCCTCAGGGGCCATGGGCATGTGAGGCTTGAGATCTGCAGGCCCAGGCTCAGCAGGCTCTGTAGGGACAATATGTGGACAAAGGACAGGTCCCTCACCTGAGGCACACTGTAGGGCCAAGCCCACACACCCAGGCCCAGTTCCCTGCCAGGGCAGAAGGACTACTCACCCAGCCGGACCATCTGGGGCAGATGCACAGGCTCCCCTGCACCGGCTGGGCCCACAGCTGCCACACGGAAGCGGTAGGTTTCCCCAGGGGCTAAGCCGTCCACCACACACTCAGGCCCTGGCACCAGCTCGTGGCATAGCTGCCACTGGCCCGTGGACCCCTCCTTCATCTCCACCCGGTAGCCACAAAGACCACCACCACCGTCACTCATGGGAGCTGCCCAGGACAGTGTTACTGCATGGCTGCTGCGTGCCACAACTTCAGCATCCTCTGGGGGGTCTGGGAGTCCTGCACAGAGGAAGAGGTCAGTGCGTCCACAGGGCTTGCCACCTTCAGCAGCCACCAGGGACAGACACAGGCCCCACCCTGTTGTGTGTGGTGGGGAACAAGGAACATAGCCGTGTGAGAGCATTACCCGAGCCACTAGGAGTGGGGCCACCAAGAGCCCCAGCGCATCATGCATGGAAGATCCTTGTTTCGCCTGCCTGCCTGCCCCCACTACACTTGCAAGAGAGCTTCCCATAGTGCCGGGCAGGACCACAGAGAACCCACTGTCCCCTCCCCAAGGCTGCAACCCAACCCACCCAGCACAGACAGTGTTGCTGAGGCCACTGCGTCACGGGCAGCAAAAGTGATTTCGCCAGTGTGGGATGGACAGGCACGGAGTAGCAACAGATCATGGTGACTGCCATCGGAGGTCACTTTCCAATCCGAGTCATCTGCCAGCACTGCCGCCCCGTTGAGATACCAGGTGGCCTCACCCACGGGTACCACTTCACTGAGTGTGCAGGAGAAGCGGGCCTGCCCACCAGCCTGCACCATCACATCATGAGGGGGGTCAAGGACCTCAAGACGCCAGCCTGTGGGGTGCAGTGGAGATGAGTGGGGAACCTGGGCTCGCACACACCCTCACTCTCCAGCAGCCTCCAGTGGGCAGCCCCCCTGCCCACAGCCCACAGAGCCTGGTCTGGCAGTGGGCTCGAGCCCATTTCCCATCCCATCTCCCAGCTCCTGTGCCCTGAGTTCAGCCACCTGGAGAGAATCCCAGAGGCTGGCAATGCCCCAGGCCAGGAAGAGGCCCCCAGCATGGGTCCTTTGAGCTCTCCCCCAACCTCGAGTCAGCACCCTGCCAGGGCCCCACCTGTGCTCCATCAGTCTCAGAGGTCTCAAAGGCCACCCCATCCCTATGCCCCTCCATCCCAGGTCACCTCTGACAGTGAGGAAGGCAGAGGTGACCACGTCCCCGGCCAGGAAAGTGACCCGGCAGCTATCCTGTGGCCGCAGGTTCTTGAGCAGCAGCAGGTGGCGCAGGCCACCCTCAAAGTAGACGACCTCAGCATTTTCTGATGTCCGCACCGGCTGGTCATCCAATAGCCACGTGTGTGCCGCCACCTCTGGTCGCAGCAGCTGGCACTCAAACAGTGCCTCACCCCCCTCGGGTGCATCCACGTTCTCCAGGCCTCGGACCACCATGTTCTTGGCTGCAGGGAAAGGAAGTGGCTCAGAGGCACAGGGTCCCCAACACTGCCCTGGGAGAGGCCCCCAAATGACATGGGGCCAAGCAGGATACCACCCAGCGAGCACCTCTCATGGCACAGGTACCTGGCCACTTGGGATATCCCCATCTCCCTGGCCCCCCAAGACAGAGGAAGCACAGCCTGCCCCACGCAACCCCAACAGCAGGCTGAGCCCACCCTCTGCTCGGTTCTCCACGCATCAGGGCTGGTACCCCAAACAGCACTCAGGCCTATGGTGCCTCTCCTTTCCTGCTCATGCTAGATACCAGTCCAATTCACGGTGGTCTTTCTCCTTGCCCTAACTTGTCATGGAAGCCACCCTCAGTGGCAGCCACCCCTAACCCAGCTCTTACTTGCCCCAAGTGTGACAAGTGCACCAATTCCCAAGGTTGTCCCTGCCCGCTCAGGTCACCTGCCTCAAAGGCTGACTGTCACCACCTGCCCCTCATTCCCTGCCAGCTGCAGCTGCCTTCCAGGCACCTCACCTTGCACTTGCAGCAGTGCCACCACACAGGTGCCCGCGGCCTCACAAGAATAGATGCCACTGTCACAGGGCAGGGCCGGCCTGAAGATGAGCCTGGCTACGGTCCAGTCCTGCTCTATGATGACACGCTGCCCATCTGCACACACCTCCCGCTCGTCCATCTTCCACATGGCCTTCACAGGCCGTGAGTACTGGCAGAGGAGCTCAGCTGAGCTGCCCTCCTCCACCACCAGGTCCCGCATGGCACTGACCACCTCCACCGTGGGATCTGTCGGCCAACATGCCGGACACCATCAGTGCTCCAGACAGCACTGCACTGCCCTCCCCCTCCACCAGTCAGGTCAGCAGCTTTGCAGTGGCAAGCATGCAGCATTGATAGGCGACAGCAAGGCAACAGCTGCCTATCTGTGCTGGCAGCAGGGACCCAGTACGACCACCCAGAGCCCTGCACAGACAGCCCCTGCTGCAGTCATGTGCCATGCCACCCGGCCCTGCTGGAAACACATCCTGCTCTGACCTCCCCTGTGCTGGCAGGCCCCGGCTCAGCACCTCAGCCCCTCTAACAGCCTTGTCAGCCCTCTGGACCCCTCCTAGCCCTAACTGTTGAAATTCTACTCCACATAGCTTTTGACTCCAGGGACTTACACAACCCTTCCCCATTTTCTACAGAAGCACCATGGTAATCACTGCCCTTCCTACCCAACCAGCTCTAACTCAGATGGGCATAGAGACCCAGTGGAGCCCACAGTGGGAACAAACATGAGCAGGGCTGGGGCAGGGCCTGGGGCAGGCACCTCTCCTTTCAGAGACCAAGAAGAACACCTCAGGCCTGGCCTGTCAGCTGGGGAGTTGCAACCAGCAAGATGGTAGCCAAACCTGCACAGCAGGGAGCACAGGACGGGCGTTCAACAGGACTTTGCCCTGGGCTGGGAGTGAGACAGGACTTGCTCTGGGTCAACAGTACACATGGGCCCTCCCACCACCCAAGAGCCCACAGGAAGCATGCAAGCGGCAGAGGCAGAAGCACCGGCTGAGAGGTCCCCACTGGCAGATACCTTTGACCAACAGCTTGGCTGTGGACACCAGGGGCCCAGCGCAGAAGGTAATGGTGCCCGAGTCGGCCACCCCCAGGCCTGAGAGTGTGAGGGAGTGGATGGTCCCATCACACACAGTGATGGCACTCTGGGGGCTGTCATGCAGCAGGGTGCCATCCAGCCACCAGCAGGCCTGTGGCCCCCCTGTACGAGACACCTCACAGGAGAACAGGGCTACCTCCCCTGCGAAGACATCCACATTCTCCAAGCCTCGAACCAGGCACAGTGCTGCCTCTGTACAACAGGGTGAGAAGGAGGCTGGCTATAGTGCCCAGCGCCTTCCAGGTGGGGCCACCTGGTTCAGTGGCTGGGTATGATGCAGTTCTGGATTTGATCTTTGTCCCTCAGATTCCTGAGGGACAGAAGTGTCTTGAAGAGGGCTGGCCAGATAGCTCAGCAGTCTAAGTACCTGCTTAGGCAACTGCAGAGACCAGGGTTCAATCCCCAATACCACATGCCATGCTGGCCCCACCCCTGGGAGTGCTGAGTTGGCCGAGACCAGGCATGGTGGCGCATGCCTGTAATCCCAGTGCTGGGGAGGCTGAAAACAGAAGGATCACTATGAGTCGGAGCTGCACAATGAGACCCTGTACCAAATACGTAAAAACAACAACAAAAGTTTCTTGAGGGACCTGGTTTATGCTAATGAAGTAACTCAGGAAGGGCCCTAGACAGTTTCAGGATGCAGCTGCCACTATGAAGATCAGGTCTGACCCAGCCCAGCAGCCTCTGGGACACAAAGCAGCTGGAGATAAAGCCCCTATAAACAGACACTCGAGCAAGCCCACAGAGCTCCCCACCAGTGCACTTGCAGGGACCTCTGTGCACCCTGCCTCTCTGCTCAGGACCGCTGCATCCCTCCGCTCTTGAGTGGACTCTCCGTAACAAGTTGACCCTAAGCTGTCCCGGCAAGCTGATGACAGCTGCAAAAGTGCTGGTATAACCTGAGATCACAGCTGGCACCTGAAGGGAGCAATCTGATGGGACTGGGGCTGCACACTGCAGAGCCTGAGCTGCCTCTGAACAGACAGTGTCAGAACAGGATTACAGGACAAGCATGCAATGTCTGTTGCAGAACAAGGCCATACACATTCAGCATTCTACTCACGCATCATGTTGTGAGAACACTGTTAGCATACTACACTCCTGGGGAGGAGGTCTGTGTGTACTATCTGCCTGGCATATCAGAGCAGGACATGCTAGGGCAGTCCTGAGACTCACTGATCTGGCACCACTAACTCCAGGAGAACAACGTGTGCTGGGGCCTGAAAACCCACCCAGGTAGCTGGGCCAATCTGATGTCACAGACACCACCCAACATGAGCCTATGAGGAGTGGCTCAGCCCCAGCACACACAAGGCAAGGCAGCGTGGATGAGCTCTTAGCCCCAGGGCTGCTGCTCCCAATCAGGGTCCCCAGGGAAGTGAGCCCTCCATCCCTGGACTGTGGAAACAGGTGCTCATTCTCCTCAAGGTGTTGTGTCCAGGAGTTCCTGGATCCTGACCCTGGGTCCGACCATTCCCGCCCATCACACGAGGGGGCCGTGCTCAAGGGGCTCCCCAGGGACTACTCACCACACAGTCCCTCCCTCCCTATCTCCTGCCCAAATGTCAGGCAGACACTCAGGTGGCCTTCACAGATAAAGGAAGAGGAGCTGCGACTCCTAGACCGATGCACACGTGGCTGACCTGTGGCCCACACCAGAGAAGGACAAAGCCAGAGGCTTCCTCCACACATGCTGCCTGCCAGGCAAGGAGGATGCCCCTCCCTGGGCTTATCTCTGTGCACTTGGCACATGCCATCTTGGGCCTCCTTCTAGGACACAACCGTCCACAGCTGTCCAAGTCCAGCTGCCTCTACCCAGAGGAGCATAGAGCTACATGGTGGGCAGAAGCTCCTGGAACACACACAGGACAAAGCTGGGCAGGGAAGCACAGTGCCCTTAGCAAGCCCTCCCTCAAGAGCTGCTTCATTCTCTTCTCCTATGAGACTCCCACACCAGCCCCCAAGTACAACCTGACCACCTCCCCTTCCTGTGTGTCCACTGCTACCCCGATGCCCATTTGTACAACCATGCCAGGGCTCTCCCAAGGCCACAGTGGGCAACAACACAAGGACCAACCTACCCAGGTTGGGGACACCAAGCCTAGGGCAGAGCCCTGCACCACCCTCACAGTGTTCATCTAGTGAACACCCACACCTGTACTGCCTGTCCTCAGAATGTCTATGAAATGCCCAGCTCACTGCTCCATTCATAGGCTCCAGTACTTGGCAGCCCCTTCCAGCCCCACAGGCCACAGAACTAACCACATTCACCCTTCTCTCAAGTTTCAGGGCAGGTGAGCATGGGATTCAGAATCCACTGTCTCCCTGTCTAGCTCCCTCAGCAGACAGAGAGCTCCACAAGGGCCAAGTGACAGGTTCATTCTGAGGTCTAGGACTTAACCACAGACATGGGTTTCCAAGGGTCTGTTCAATGATAAATGGATGGCTGGGGAGATAGATCAGTAGACTATGCACTTGCCTGGCAAGTACAAGATCCTGAGTTCAATCCCCAGTACCACAAAAAAATAAAAAAAAAAAAGACTGGATGAATGATAGGCACTGGGTGGGCAGATGGGATTGGAATAGTTGAGTAAATGCATGGATAAATGGTAGAGAGCAATACCAGGAAGAGCTGTGGAACCAGATGTTCCTTCACCCCAAGAGGCATGTCCACAGTTCCCTGAGGACTCCAGAGTTCTGACACTGGATCCAACTGCCCCCTGCCCAGCACATGGAGGGGTGAGCAGATGGATGAGTGGTGATGAATGAGTAGACAGTCAATGGATGGTTGACAAATGGTGGGTGGGTAGATAGGTGAATGGATGGTGGATAGATAGCCAGATGTGAATGTGGATAAGGGACAAATTGAAGAGGGCTATTAGATGGGTGGATAATGGGTGGGTGAATGGATGAACAACGAGTGGCCTTTTGGGACCAGCTTGTGAACCAAGAGTTAAACAAGCAAAGAACACTGAAGCGAAGCACTGAAGAAGACCAGCACCAGTAGCAAAATGCCACCTAAGGTGCGTGTTCCTAAAACACTGTTTGCATCCTGGGGTCATGTGCTCTGAACGCATACACGCGGCAGGGCTAGCTGCTGAGTCCACACTCTGAACTCACTGGGTAAGCAATGTATATTAGGGTAGATGTGCAGGCACACAGGACTGTGCCACAGGAGGCCCTGACTCCACTTCAGGGCATATCCCCTGGCAGCCAGACTCTGCACCTCCTCCTGCAGACACTGCCAGTTCTTCCATGGGGCCCCACATACCACAGAATTTCTCAAGGAGGCCTTCACCAGCACACCCGGTGGCCCTCCCTGGCTGTAGTAACCAGGGAGTGGGTAATCGGCAGCTGTGAGAAGGCTGGGCTCTACCCCTCTCCACAGGTACCCCTAAGAACCACGCTGCTTGTGCAGGGAATAGACACCCCCAGCAAGGGTTGGACATGGAAGGGGCTGCCCACCTGTCACTGTTAGCTGGGCTTCTGAGCTACAAGAGCCCACTTGAAAAGTGACAGTTCCAGCATCCTCGGGGGTCACCTGAGGAGGCAGAGAAAAGCTGCTTGGCTCTGCTGGCCTCGTTCTGACCAGGAGTGCCAATCCATCCTCCAGCCCCATCCCCTCACAGAGAACTTTCCTGGGTCCTCCCCACCCAGAGGGTGCCAGAAGGAAGGTCCAGAGCCATACCTTGTGCAGGGTGAGTGAGTGGAGTGTGCCCTGCTCCACAGTGATGTCATTCATCTCATTGGCCTGCAAGGGCACCCCAGCCAAGGTCCAGCGGGCCTCCTGGCCCAAGGCCCTAGACAGTCGGCACTGGAAGTGAGCATCCTGGCCCTCACTGAGCTGCACATTCTTCAGGGGCTCCAGAATGGTCACCTTGGGGGCTGGATATGGGGAGGCATGGGTGTCAGCCTCCACGCCTGTGTTCTGGATGCACTGTTCCTCAGAGGTCCTTCCCTGAGCCCACTCCAGTCTGACAATAAACTAAGGGTGGGTGTATCAACTCCTCCCCTACCCTGGTTCTAATCCCTCAAGATGCTGGAGATGATCAGGACTGGGGTCACCCCTCCAAGGACCAACACTGGGGAGCCACCAACAACCCCTTTGTTATGCCTGACTCAGCCCTCAGCCAGGACCTTTCCTCTCCGACATTCCAGAGCCTCCAGGAAACAGCCAAGCCCAGGCCTGCCTCCCTCCCAGAGCCCAGCCTGGACATCTCCTCCCAGGGCAGCGATAGAAGCAGCCAGCACCTCGCACAGTGAGCTGGGCAGAAGATGTGTGGCAGCCCACGTGGAAGGAGACAGTGCCGGCATCCTCCAGGGTCACGCCCTTCAGCTGAAGGATGTGGGTGCAGCCATCCTGGACAGTCAGCTCTGTCACTTCGTTGCTCTGCAGGGGCAACCCCTGGAGGCGCCACTGCACATCCGAGGCCCCAGCCTTTGACACCTCGCAGCTGAACTCCACATCTGCATCAGCCTGCGCCTCAGTGTCCACCAGTCCCCGCACAATGGTCACCTCGGGCTCTGGAGGACAAGACAGGCCCCTTTTTCAGCCCAGGCCATGGTTCCACAGCCTTGGCTCTGGGAAGCCACCCTGGTCACCAGCACCATTCTGCCACCACACATAGCCTCTGTCACCTCCCGCACCTGCTCCCCAGGGGCAGCTGCCTCTACAGGCCTAGTGGTGCCACCTGTCAGCTGGAGACCGGACATAAGGCAGCCAGCCAGGTCCGCAGGCTCAGTGTGCCCTGCTAAGGTTCCTCACGTGAAGAACAGCCAACAGATGCAGACAGGGAGGGTAGGGACGAGGAGGAAGGCAGCCTGCGCTCTCAGGCTCACCATTGACCTTGACGGAGGCCGAGGTCTTCTGGCCACCTGCTGCACATGCGTACTCTCCAGTGTCCTTGGCCTCCAGGCCTCGGATAAGCAGTTCACACATGGCCCCCTGGCGCCGCATCTCATACTTGGGCCCAGAATGCAGCTCCACACCCTCCTTGAGCCACTGCACTGGGGACTCAGGCTCTGCCTCACTCAGCTGGCAACACAGCCTGGCTACACCACCTGCTTCCTGCTCCACACTCTCCAGCCGGGACTGGAACCTGGGCTTAGGAGCTGGGGCAAAAAAGACTCTTACTGCCAGGCTCCAAGCCACCCACCCCTGTGAGCAAATGCTGTCAATTCCTAGGACAGCTTACCTCGGACTTCGAGATGTGCTGTGCTCTGCATGTGGCCTGTGTCACACGTGTAGTCACCCGAGTCCTCTGGTTCCGCCCCACACACCTGAAGCTCAGCAGCTAAGCCTTCCTGCAGCATTTGGTACTTGGCACAAGGGAAGAGCTGCAAGGCATCCTTGCGCCACTCCAGACTGGCACCTGCCCGGCTCAGCTCACAACGCAGGTGCACTGTGTCCCCCTCCACCACCTCCTGGGCCTGCAGCTCACGCAGGAACCGCACAGGTGCAGCTGCAGGGAGTGGGGGAGGGCGTGAGGGCAGAGGAACCATGCGCCTCTGTGGGGTGCAGCCAGGAGGAGCAGGGAGCCTGGGCAGGGCAGGAAGTGGGGTGGTTGGGGAACCGGGGGTGCACACTGGATGACAATCTTGAGGAAAGCTGCCAAGGCCACCATGGAGCAGGAGGGCAGGAGCCTGAGTGGCCCTGGCATGGGAAATAGGGCACAGCCTGGGCAAGGGCATCGCAGGTGTGGCTGGGTGGACAGCACCCAGGAAGTCCCACCCTCAACTGTCCTGGGTCCTTCAGAAAGGCTGCAGCCTGGGCTCCAGAGCAGCAGTGCCCACCTGTGACTGTGAGTGTGGCACTGGTGGCCTGGGCCCCACAGGTGCAACTGTACTCGCCCGCGTCCTCACGGTGCAGGTCCCGCAGCACCAGCTCCGCAGTGTGGCCCTGCAGCTTTGGCTCCCGGCGCTTGTCAGCCTGCAGCTCCAGGCCACCCTTGCTCCAGACCACAGGGATGTCAGGCATCGATAGCTCACATCGCAAGCTGGCTGTGGAACCCTCCTCAGCCTGGAGGCTCTGCAGCGGCTCCCGGAATACCACCTGGGGGGCTGAGGGCAGGGGCAGCTGGAGACCCACACACCTAGCCCAGGACTCAAGGGAGCACAGGCCTGGGTGGGCCCACAGGACAGGGAAGGGGCAGGAAAAGCATGGGCACGGCTTCTCTGGTGACTGCCAGAGACTGCGCCGTGTCAAGGGCTGTGTTCCCAACACCTGGGGCAGAAACCCCCTCAGACCACGCAGGACAGGCCCCTGGCTTCCAGATGCACACCCAAGGACATAGCTCTGTTCCTCCCAGGCTCTAGGATAGGGCCATGTCCTTCATATTTAAAGGCCGAGTCTCCTGCCAAGGACAGATCTGAGGGCATGACCATGTCCTATGGTCTCCAAGGAAGGCAGGGCTCCATCCTTCAGAACCCCAAGCAGGGATCCATGCTCTAGGGCAATAAATGTGACATACACTTATACCCTGCTGGACACACAGAGCATCAGAACCAACTCCTGCCCAGGTGTCAAAGCCACCAGCCAGACAAGCACCTTGGGTGAGAGTGGCATGCAGAGGCTGAGGCAGGGGTAGGGGTTGGCTGACTGGGAAGCAAAAGGTGGGAGCTCTGTAGCCATGACAACACCTGGCTGCGTGAGGGCATGTGCGAGACTGGGACAGACACCTTGACACAGGCCGTGCTGCAGCAAAAGACCAGACAGGGTGGAGAAACACAGAAGACAAAAGGGACAGTCACAGGAAGAGACAGGATGAAGCCAGGGCAACATCCCAAACACAGCGCAGGGTGGCAGAAGGACCTTACCCCTGAGGGTCAGCGTGGCCGAGGTCCTCTCCTGCCCGCACATACACACGTACTCCCCAGCGTCCGCCATGGCCAGGGCCCGGATCTGCAGCTCACACACAGGGCCACCTTGCCTCAGCCTGTATCTGTCCCCGTCTCTGAGGGCCTCTGTCCCTTTCATCCACTCCACAGGGGCCTCTTTGCTCAGCACACACCGCAGCGTGGCCGTGGCACCTTCTGGGGCCTCTTCATCCCTGAGACCTTCTGTGAACTTGGCGGGCAGGGCTGGGAGAGGTCAGAAAAGCATGGACACAGTCAGAGCCTGAGCACATGTAGAGGAATGGAGAGGATGGATGCAGACACCACGGAGGAGACGCAAGACTGCACCAGAAACCCTCCACTGTGCGTGCTAAGTGAAACCTGTAGATCGTTACCTCCCTCAGCCCAGCCTTTACACACACCACTTCTGTGGAATCCTTAGGCCTCTTCCTTTGAATGACACATATACAGAACTTCAGGTTTTCTACAAAACTTTGAGGAAAATAATGAGGAAAAGGGCAGAACCCACTATGGCACAAGGTGCTAAGGCTGCAAAGCCATGCAGAGGCAAGGAGAGATGTCAGATCAGGGAGGGAACAGAGGATGAGTGATGGTACGGCATGAGGTCAATACTTGGACACAGGAAACTAATTTTATGTGGCCACTTGCAGTCTTTACCCAGGATGGTCAGCATGGCTGAGGTCCTCTCCTGCCCCCACACACAAGTATTCCCCGGCATCCACTGCAGCCAGTCCCTGGATCTGCAGCTCACACACAGCACCCTCCTGCCTCAGGCTGTGTCTGTTCCCATCTCTGAAAGTCTTCATCCCTTTCATCCAGTCTCCCGGGCCACCTTGCTCAGCTCACACCACAGTGCTGCCATGGCCCCTTCCCTGGCCTCCAGGGACTGCAGGTCTTGGATGAACCATGTAGGTAGACAGACAAGCTACCAAACCCTTATGGTTCTGGAGTCATGACTTCAGCATGCAGGAAGGCTGGAGAGTCACAGGAAGGCGTGGATCCTTGAGTAAGACACCTGCGTTCTGCCTGCAGAAGTGCAGGTTGGCTAGGAGATGGGCTCCATTCCAGATCTGTCTTTATAGAGTATAACTCTCACTGCAGGGAAGCATGACAGCCTACTCCAGCCGATAGCTCACCTGTGCAACAACATGGACCTTTCATGTGTCCCCACAGATAGCACCTGTCATGACCTCTCCCTGCCTCCCATCCAGCACCAGCCACACCTGGACACACCAGGCCCCACATCCTCTGCATCACATGTCCTCGTCTCCACGACTGGAGCCAGACTACCTATCGCTGCTCCTCCCTGGCTCATTCCTAAACCCAGTGGTCCAGGAGCAGTTGCCTCCCCTGCCTTCAGCCCTACACCCTGCCCTGATATGCATCTCCTAAGTCCACAGCATGGGCTCCATGAGTCATAATGGACAAGTAACCAAGCCACCTGGTTACTTCTGTCATTTGTGCCCCCAGAGAGTCACATGTTGAATCCCTATTCCTACAGTTCAGAAACTAACTATCTAGAAATGGGGCCTTTAAGGATGCAGGGGGCTAACCCAAGATGATGGGCACCCTCGTAAGAAAGAAGTAGGATGCCAACAGGAGTACTGCAGGAAGACATGGGAGATGAGTGCTTCTTGGAAGCTGAGGCCTCAAAGGCACCCGAGCTCCAGGCCATCTGGCCTCAGGCACAGCCTCCACACAGGGGAAATGCACCTCTAGTAGCAGTCCAGCCTACAGCACTTCATTGTGGTGTCCCAGCAACAGAATTCTGATGCAGGTCCATGATGGAGCAAGCACTGCCGCATCTACGCCAGAGACCTGCAAGTGGCTTCAGAACTGCGTTGTGGTTCATGCCTGGGAGACTTCTGAGGTACATGTTACCAAAAAACCCTGTGGCCCCTGTTGGGCCCTTAGCAGCAGTACAGACATTAATGATGTTTCTGGTCGGCTTCAGATGGAAATGGAGAATGAGTGGTTGGAAAAAGGGGATCCCAGTAATAAAGAGGCAAAGAACTTGGCCAGATTGTGTTGCGATGTTTTGTGAAAGGAAGAAAGTAGGAATACTGAAATTAGACATGCAGCTGAGATTTTTAAGCAATGTGTTCAGGTACAACCTGGTTTCTCTTTACTTATTGTAATATAATGGGGGAAAACAGACAAACTGAAGAAAGAATTATTTAGCAAAAAGGAAGAACTTGAAAACTAACACAACTGTTGGTATGTCCATACTATGGGGGGCAGGTTCTTGAGCAAACCCTGAGGATTTGGCTAGACAATCATCTCATCTCACCTGACTCATTATTACTTCTCGTTCCCAGGGGAGATCTAGGGAGGAACCTCTTGTTCAGAGACTTGGAACCCCACAAACCGCATGGACCAAAAAGGGTTTTGTGGATGTCACGCCTGCCAAAATGCTGCACTGTGGGATGGCTCACAGGAAATGAAGACTGTCAAAGCTCCTGGACCCAAAGGATGAGCTGACAGGCCACTGGCTGCACACCTGCTGTCCTTCAGAAGGGTGACCACGAGGGGTCAGAGTGACAGGGGCACCCCTGTCCTAGGGGCCCCAAGGCCAGGACCCTTTCTCTCCTATCCAGGGAGGGACACAGCTACCGGGGCTGAAGGGCAGATGACCATTCTGATGGAGCCAGAGGACAGTGAGGAGCCCCAGCATGCTCTAGCCTAAAACTCACTGAAAGCTGTCCTACTTTTTCAGACTAGCTTGGGATCCAAGGCCTAATTTTTCTGCACAATTTCCCCCTTTTGGGTAAAAATGTCTATATGCATCTGTCTTCCCTCACTCCCTTGGGGGAATCATACCATGTCTGGGGCCACAGGTTCAGAGCAAGGGAGGAATTCTGCTCAAGACAAGCCATACCCCACATCCCCCACTTAATGGAAATGACACTGAGATGTTGGACTTAGCCTGGATGCATCGCAGGCTGAATCTTGGGTTGGCAGGGTCAGGGAATGAGCTTGCAGGTGAAAAGGGCAGCAGTTCGGGGAGGCCACAGTGTACTGAAGCCTCAACTGTATCCCACCCAAGTTCACACACAAGCCCTAACCCAACCCCAGAACACAACTCCCTGTAGACAGAATTCAAAGGAGTCAAAGTAAACGAGGTTGTCAGGGTAGCCTCAATGCAAAGCCACCAAGTGTCCACAGAAGAGGAGACTGGGACACACACACACACACACACACACACACACACACGGACGATGTCTGCCACCAAAGGTCTCAAATCTCTTCACACTCTGATGTGCGTTCTGGCCTCCAGAATTACAGGAACAGCTTTCCAGTCTAGAGTACTGGGTCTGCACACTACAGGGAGGCCCGCACTAATGACGGCAGCAATGTTTCCAGCCTGGCACAGAGCCCCAGGGTCCAGCAACCAGCACAAGAGATGTGGAAGGACAGCCTGACCATCTCCCTCAGGAGCTCCACAGTGCCCATGCCCCAAGGGCATACCTTCCCTCAGCACATCAGGAGGCACAGCGCATTCTGGGGACAGCTGCCACCCAGGAAGCCCCCCAGCAATCATCACTGATCACAGCAGGGTGCACAGCATCCCAACCAGGGTGCCCGGGGTGCTGGCGGCATGCACATGGGAGAGGGCGCACACAGGGCTATAGAAATGACACAGTGACACAGAGAGATGAAAAGAAAAAGGAACAGGAGTAGGAGAAGAAGCCACACAGTTGTTACCCTTCACAGTCAGTGTGGCCGAGGTCCTCTCCTGCCCGCACATACACACGTACTCCCCAGCGTCCACCATGGCCAGGGCCCGGATCTGCAGCTCACACACAGGGCCACCTTGCCTCAGCCTGTATCTGTCCCCGTCTCTGAGGGCCTCTGTCCCTTTCATCCACTCCACAGGGGTCTCTTTGCTCAGCACACACCGCAGCGTGGCCGTGGCACCTTCTGGGGCCTCTTCATTCCTGAGACCTTCTGTGAACTTGGCGGGCAGGGCTGGGAGAGGTCAGAAAAGCATGGACACAATCATAGCCTGAGCAGGAAGACAGATATGGACATCACTGAAGACACAAAACCCTCTGGCCATGGCCACTTGCTGAGTGGAGTCTGGGGGCTCCGCTGAGGTATCCTCTCAATATCACGGCCACGGCTTTTTCCCTGGCTTCCTTGGCCCCACCACTCACAGAGCCAAGGAGGGCCAGAAACACGCTAAGAACATTGATTTCTCATGCGTTTTCTGAACCTGGCAGGCATAGCTGGAAAAGGCCAAGCAGGGACTAAGACATGAGATTGCCTGGACACCTCTGCACAGGACAAGAACAAAAAAGAGCCAGTACTCTGCCAAGGATCAGGACATGAACAAGAGAACATGTACAGACAGTGACAGAAGTAACTGGGAGAAACAGACGAGTTTGGGAGGGATAGTACTTAGACAACTGTAGGAGCTAAGAGTTGCCCAGAGGACCACAGCTGTGTTACACAGAGGCAGAAGGACAATGTGGAGGTACAAAATGACAGGTCCACAGGAACACGATCTTTACTCCTGACAGTGTGGCCAAGGTCCTCTCCCACATGTGCACATGCACGCACTCGTGCGCACACACACACACACACACACACACACACACACACACAGAGTATTCCCTGGCCTCTGCCAAGGGAGAGGCCCAGGACCTGCAGTCCACACACAGCCCTATCCTATCTCAGGTTGTATCTGTCCCCATCTCTGATAGCCTTTATTCCCCTTTCTCCACACACTGGAAGTTCCCTTGCAGAGTTCACACTACACAGTGGCCATGTCCCCTCCCATGGCCTCTTTGTACCTCACAGCTTCTGTGAACCTGATGGGCAGTGCTGTGGAGTGCCAAAGAGCCACAGTCACACCATCTGAACACACAGAGCAGACAAGATCCAGCAGTACAACGCAGACACCAAGCACTGCAGGGCGGGGGCCACAAGTTGGGACTGCGGGGCACAGGCAGTGGCCTGTGCCTCCCTTCACCCTGGCCATGTGCCCCATGGCCATGGGGTCTACCCCATGGCTCCTGCAACCTCTTACTCAGTGACTCTGGCTGGCAGGGCTTAGGAGAACACAAAAACATCAGGATCTCTGCAGATTGGAGGGGACAGGACATGACAAGGGCAAGCACTACAGAGTGGAGATTAAGGATAAGCACAGACACATGGTGGGCAAACGGCATGGTGGGAAGCAGCAGCCAAGTCTCCTGTGTGCAGGTCCTCACTGACAATGGCAGAACTCACATGAGGACAGGGACACAGAATACCTACAGGCCATGGCACAGGTGGACATAACCAAGGGCCACACTGATCCGCCTCTCCTCGGTGTCATGTGATCTGCCCAGAACCTGCCAGGCTACTCAGTGGCCATGGCCATGGTCCCCTCCATAGCCTCTTGTGGCATGGCTGAGGGACAGAGCCCCAGAAGGCTGCCTGGGACTCTCCCACAAGCTCACATAAGACCTCACTTCCCAGTCAGCCCAGCTGGAAGGGAAGAAGCCACCCCTACCCTCCCAGCACTGTCATCCTGGAGCAGATAGCCTGGGGCCTGGACCCCTGTGTTCAGACACAGGCAGGTTCCCAATGTACATGCAGATGATGAAGTCCAATGAATAAGGAGCAAGACGCCCTCTGCAGGAGGTGGTCAGAGAAGAGCAGAGGACACAGCCAAGCTCCAGACTCTGAGGCTGGGGTTGCTCCTGGGTACCAGCTAGAGAGTGGGCCTCTAGTGTGGCCAACTGTGTCCAACTGCTGGCCTCCAAGGAGCAGCAACTCTAGGCATTTGGGACTCTGGTCCAGGAGTGACTTCTAGAAATGGCAGCCTTCTCCAGAAAGGTCAGAACAGGGTGCTTGCCATCCTCAGCCCTTCCTGTGTGGGACACCATTTCTCCTGCTCCTCAGCAGCCCTCTGGGTCCTAAGGAAGGTTCAGCTTGCCCCAGCTCAACTTCCGAATCTTCTAAAGCTACAGGATGGGCCTCAGAGGCCACATTCTTCTGTCACCTCCTGGCAGGACACAGGGTACCATGCCCCAGAAGGTGCCTGTGGACTCCCTTTGCACAGCTTGATGTGGTATGGTTATGGGGTTTCTTCACAAAGTTGCCCCACATCTCTGCCCACAGCAGGTACTGCCCCACAGCCTCAAGCAGACAGATGCCTGTCCCAGCGCTGACTCTCTCATCTATTGCCCCAAGGAGCTCTTCTTGAGGCAGAGTGGAGGCCATGAGAGCCTTGTGGCTGCAGGGGTTCAGCTGTCCTCACCTGAGGTCTGCATCTACCTTCACTTCCTCTGCTTCCCTGTTAAGATATGATCCAGGCCCTAGTCCCCAGGTGGTCAGCCACATCAGGTCAGGGATCCCAGTTCCCCCAAGGTCCTGCAAGGCAAGACTTAGGGGCCTTGCTCCTCCATGGATGGAATGTCATAGGTTCAGGCACTGAGTACACAGAGCCAGCAGTGGTCAAGGGCAGTATGCGCCTACCTATATGGCCCACAGCTCCATAACCTGCTTCAATCTGCACCCACACATCCCTGAGAGTGAGGCACCGAGGCAGCCCCTTTTGCACCTGGGGTCACCCTGCACGGTTCACATGATAGTGTGGCCCTGGCACCTTCTGTGGCAAGGGCAGACCTGTGACCTGGGTAATCAGTGGGGTACAGACACTGTGGGGAACACAGGATATGGGGCGGGGCTGCCAGAGGGGGACCCGCAAAGGTCCATCCCAGTGTACCCGAGACAACAAAATGGTCCCTGGGTCAACCTTCTGCACAAAGATCGCCCCCTTACCATACAGACTGGGCCTCTTCTCCCTCCCCAGAGGATGAGACCACACTGTAGTCACTCTGGGTCCTGTTTATGGACATTAACTCTGCCTCCTGCGTGCCATTTCCCATTCCTGATGTGTCCCCAGACCCACCACTGCATCTTTTATAACCGGTTTTCCTCACTCCTCCCTGAGGGGCTGAGAAACAACCCCATCTTCTGCTGGGCTCCAGGACATGTTCTGCACAGCAGCAAGAAACACACTCACTGCAGGACAAAGCAGAGCTGAGGAAAGCACAGCACAGATAGACACAGGCCACACAGTCATTACCTTTCACAGTCAGCGTGGCCGAGGTCCTCTCCTGCCCACACACACACGTGTACTCCCCAGCGTCCGCCATGGCCAGGCCCTGGATCTGCAGCCCACACATGGCACCATCTTGTCTCAGCCTGTATCTGTCACCATCTCTGAGTGTCTCTGCCCCCTTCCTCCACTCCACGGTGGCCTCCTTGTTCAGCTCACACTGCAGCATGGTGGTGGCTCCTTCCATGGCCTCCTTGTTTCTCAGTTTTCTTATGAAGTGGGCCGGCAAGGCTGAAGGGGCAGACAGACACCAGCAGGGTCAGGTCTACCACAGGGCCTGGGAAGCACATGTCCAGAGGAAGACAAAACATAGACTCTACAGGAAACAGAGAGAGGCTTACAAATGGCTGGGTGTCCCCTGTTCACCCAGCCAACACCATCATAGCCAACAGGATGGGAAGAAAGCAGGACAGGCATGGGTGAGAAGACAGCCCGCGTGAGAGACAGCATGAGGCCGGTACATGGGCCCCAGCGCATGGGATGACATGGCCACACAGTCATTACCCTTCACAGTCAGTGTGGCTGAGGTCCTCTCCTGCCCACACACACAGGCGTACTCCCCAGCATCCGCCATGGCCAGGCCCCGGATCTGCAGCCCACACACGGCACCATGCTGCCTCAGCCTGTATCTGTCACCATCTCTGAGCTTGTCTGTTCCCTTCCTCCACTCCACAGTGGCCTCCTTGTTCAGCTCACACTGTAGTGTGACTGTGGCCCCTTCTGTGGCCTCCTTGTTTCTCAGCGTTCCTATGAAGTGGGCCGGCAGAGCTAGAACAAGGTCAAAGGGGACAGAGATGCCATCTTCATTTAAAATCCATGCACCAAGGGGTCCCACAGTGGCCCGTGGGCACAGCAGACAGGAACACTCACCCTTCACAGTGAGCATGGCCGAGGTCTTCTGGTCCCCAAAGGAACAGGAGTAGTAGCCACTGTCCAGGGGCTGCAGGTCCCGGATGACCAGTTCCAACACAGTGCCCTCCTGGTGTAGACCATACTTACTGCCAGACCGCAGGACATCCTCCCCATGACGCCACTCCACGGGCGTGGCCACAGATGACAGCACACAGCGAAGTTTAGCCGCACCACCCTCTGGCACCTCTACATCTTTCAGGGCCTCCTGGAACCGCACTGGCCGAGCTGCAGACAGACACAGCTCAGCTTGGCTTTAGGCAGGACACTGCGTGGGCTAAGCTGGGGTGGGCAAGGCTCTGAGAGGGACCAGGGAGATGAGCACAGGTCTGACAGTGCATGCAAAGGTCAGCACAACCGAGGGAGGGGAGGGGGTGCTTGGCATTGTGGCCTTGAAGTGACAACTGTAAAGTTAGGCTACTGGAGGAGGTCCTAATTTTAGATTTGTATCCTTAGAAGAGAAGACCAGGACAGAGGCACACAGACGATGACCAATTGGGCCATGGAGAGAATTTTCAGGGAAAGCTGGCCCCAGGGCAGCTCAGCCTCAGACCCCAGCCTCAAGTACCGAGAGATAAGTCCATGCAAGTAGGCTGCCTATCTGTGAAGAAGGCATAAATGAGAAATAGGAGCAAAAAGAGAAGATACCAGGGATGACTGAGCAAGGCCAAGATGCAAATAGGGTGAAAAACAATGGCCATATGTGGAGACCCAGACAGCGCAAGGGAGCTGCTGCAGGGGAGAAGAGACCTTGAGACAGGAGGCAGTTGAGAAAGCTATTGAGCCTGCCACTCCCCAAACCGAGGGCAGCAATGGCGCTGGATGGTGTCCAGGACCCCATGCCCTGTGGGTGTCTACCCACCCTATGCCCATGTCAATGTGAAAAGGCAGGCTGCAGTCCTCTGGACTCACCATGGACCCTGACAATAGCGCTACTTGAGGCTCCGCCAGCCTCGCATTTGTACCGCCCGCCGTCCTGCAGGCTGACATCAGTGATAACCAGCTTGGCACGGCCACCATCGTAGCTCAGCTGGCACCGGGCGGAAGGCCGCAGTATCTTCCCATCCTTGGTCCAGTGCATGGGGCTGTCTGGAGCAGTGGTCTCGCAGCACAGAGTCAGGTCTTCCCCTTCCACGACTGTGGTATCTGATAGTGCCCTGGAGAAGATGCTCGGCTTCTCTGGGGACAAAGAGAAACAGTGCCAGAGAGTTGGGCCAACTGTGGCACAGGTGGGCAGCCAGTGGGGCAGCTCCACGGCTCCCACCACATGGGAAGCAGCCAGCACACAACCTTTAAGGGTCCTTGAACTCCCCAGGAGGATGCTTCTGGAAGCAGCTCAGACCAGCACTCTACAACCACCAGCCAAGAACCAGCCGGCACTCCCAGGCCAGCTACCCTTACCACCTATGAGCACAGCCACCCCTAAGCTGCCGTGCCTCTCCACAAGGCGGCACCTGAGCCACACAGATTTGGTGGCACCCCAATCATGGCTGCCCTACCTATGAGTACCACACCCACCTGTGACCCGCAGAGCAGCAGAGGAACGCTGGTCACCCGCCTCAAAGTAGATGGTGCCCGTATCCTTGAGCTGCAGCTGCCGCAGGGTGAGCACATGGTAGCCCCCTGGCTGGGCCTCAATTTCATGGAGCCCATCAGCATGCAGGGGCATCTGATCCAGAAACCAGCGCACTGGGCCATAGTCAGCAGGGGACAGGCGGCAGCAGAAAGTGGCTGAGGCACCTTCCTGCACCTCGGCATCCTTCAGGTCCTCAGCAATGCACACACTCTGGCCTGTGAGGGCACAGTCAATCAGTCAGGGCTCTGCCAGCTGAGGGGAAATTCAGGTCTCCCCAGACCCACTGAGGGGCTCGCAGCTGCTGGCAGTGGCTGCTTGACAAGCCCACACTGACAAAACTCAAAACTACTTGGATCAAGAGCCAAAAGGCCCAGAGCCAGCACTCCTGGCCTCCCTGGGGCTGCACCCAAGCCTGTGTGTCAAGCTTCCCCCACTCCACCTGCATCACCACCACCACCCACACAGTCAAATCTGAGTCTGCAACGGAACAGTGCGAGCATGATGACTGCCACCCTGTGCTGCAGGGTGCTGAGCTGAACACCCCGAAGGTGCTTACAAGTCACTCTCAACCCCCACCCGAGAGACAGCTGCCTGGCCAGGACACATCACCACTTCTGTCCTGTCTCCCAGTCAGGGTAGACTGTGACTCTCATCAACAGCCTCCCTTGACCCAGCATTGGTTTGCTTGCTGTGGGTTCTGCCTATGACCTAGGACACACCCTCAAGTCCCTCAGAAAGCCCCCTGGCTCCCAGGTGAGAGCCACCAGCAACAGGCACACTGATGGCTTGGCCTGGATGCACCCAAGACTCCCAGCTGTCACCATATCCTGGGGCTATGTTGTATGCTGGCATGTGAATAGCTCAGGCTGGAACCATGGCAGAACATTTCCTCTACCCGCAAGGGTTAGAGAGACAGAGGCAGCCTTAGTGGGCTGGTACAGAAACCAGCACACTTAGTTGGCAGGGGACAGGCAGCAGCAGGAAGCAGCACGCAGAGTGACAATCTCTGGCCACCTCAGCATTTCCGAGGTCTAATTGAAATACAGCAGTGTCTGAACCCCTGTGGTATCTGCCACTGTCATCCGCAGCTCACCTTGCACTTGGAGGCGGGCTTGGGACTGAGCCTGGCCAATGTCACAGGTGTAGATGCCACTGTCAGCTGGTGCCAGGGCGCTGATAGTGAGCCTCAGGGTCAAGCCCTCCTGGCTAGCCACATGCTTCCCTGAAGCCTGCAGCTCCATGGCATCTCTGCGCCACGTCACAGTGGCCGCCGGCTGCTCTGTCTTACAGGTGAATACAGCAGTGCCCTGCTCCTGGGCCTGCAGGTTGGTCAGCTCCTCTGTAAACCGGTTTGCCTTTTCTGCAGAGGGAAACCAAGCAGGAAGGCAGAGATTGCATTCAGCTCACTCTCTCCTGGCCCAGCCTGCTGGCTGCAAAGGCAATTTGAGAGTTCTAAGATCCTGGGGGACAGAGGCACTCACCCTTCACATGAAGCCTGGCAATGCTCTTGGCAGCATCTGTCTCACATGCATACTCGCCAGAGTCCCTGAGCGAGGCACCACGCACCACCAGCATGGCCCGTGTGCCTTCGCCGAGCAGGTCATACTTCTGCCCCTTGCGGATGGCCTTCCCATCTTTCAGCCAGCGCACAGGGGCACCTGCCTGTGACAGCTCACAGCTCAGCACCACGTCCTCCCCTATCATAGCCTGCTGGTCCTCCAGGAGCTTCACAATAGACACTGGCCTCTCTGGGGAAGCAGATGGCCGGCAGTGAGGCACCACAGCACCAGCCACGCACAGTCCTGGCCACAGAGGCACAGCCTCAGTGCAGCCACGCCCAAGCCCCAGGAGCACAGTCACCAGGGACCCCTTGGTCCCAGGGCAAGGCCAGAAAGGCAGGTCCTTAATGGCAGTCAAGCCACCAACTGGAACCCAGAACCCCAGCTTTCTCCAGAGCCCTGGAGACTCACTGCAAGCAACACTCAGAGTGACCAAAAGCCCTGCTCTTAGTGTGTGCCTCTGAGCATTCACACCTGCCAGAGGAGCGCTCACCAGGGCAGGAGATGGTCCCTAGGACCTCCCTCATACAAGCCCTGGGCCCACATACCCACCTCTGACAAGCAGTGAGGCCTTGGAGGTAAGGCCCCGCACAGAGAAGATCACCTCTCCGGCGTCATCCAGTGCAGCATCCTGCACTGTCAGCGTGTACTTTCGGCCCTGGCATCTAGCCCTGAAGCGGCCAGAGCTGCCCACCGTCTTCCCACCAACTGTCCATATGGCAGGGTCACCCATGTTTTCATGGGACAACACACACTCAAAGCTGTAGGTCTCCCCTTCCAGCACCTCTACTGTCTTCAGCCTCTTGGTGATTCCCACGTGCAGATCTGTAGGCCACAGGACACGTGCTGTCACCCAGATGCCCAAGGATGATGTGGCCCAAGCATGTACAGACCCACCTGGAGTCCTACAGTGCTGACACCCAGGGTAGCCATCCTCACAGGGACAGCCATGTCTGGCCCACACCGTGTGCAGATGACTGACTGTTTGAGTTGCATCAGGTGGCCCAAGCACAGGACTGCCACAGAGCACCAGAACAGTTCTGCAGTGCATGAGGACCACCCAGAGCAACCATCACACTCTCTTGCAAGCCAACCCCACCTGCCCAAAGTTGGAGAGCTCTATGGATGGAGCTCAGGACGCAGTGTACCAGCCCTGCAGTTGGAAACCAGCCCAATGAGGGGACCCACAGGTCCAAGAGGAAGGATTGGGTGCAGTGACAACTCTAGACTTGGGCATGCCTGTGCACCAGCAAGGAGCCCTTCCGACAGCCCTCACCTATGCCAATTCTCAGACATGTCTCATGGAACAGAGAGAAGGGCCCACCCCACTGTCCACCACCAAGTGCACCCTGGCTCTCGTAGGACCACAACAGGAAGCCACCCATCTCCTTCTGCTCCCCTCAGCTTAGAGTGGCATGTGCTACCAGGAGGGAAGATGGCCACACCCACACCACGCACCGTGCACGCTGACCCGGGCCTGTGTCTCCTCGCTGCCCACACGGCAGGTGTACAGGCCGGCATCCTCACGGCTTAGGTCATGTACCACCAGGCCATGAGTGCCCGCTGTGTGCATGAAATCATACTTGTCACCGGGCCCCAGCTCCACACCATCCTTGCACCACACCACGTGGGCCTTGGGGTCAGACACTTCACACTGCAGCGACAACATGCCGTGCTCCTCCACTGTCATGTCATCCAGGGCCTTCAAGAACACAACTGGCTTTGCTGTGGGGAGGGCGCACAGGTGGTGAGGGGATTGCTGCAGTGAGTGCTGTCCCACAGACCCTTAGAGGATGGCTCACCTCGGACCACCAGCTGGGCCGTGGCTGACACCTTTGGGGAGCTGGCACAAACCACACCGGCATCTGCTAGTCGGACACTTTTGAGTACCAGTGTGTGGCGCTGGCCCTCATGAGTGATCTCATGAAAGCTGCCCTTGTACAGTGGCATCCCATTGAGTGACCACTCAACCTCCTCATCCTCATGGGACAGCTCACAACAGAAGCAGGCCTGGCCCTCCTCGGTGACCTCAGCATCCTGCAGCGGCTGTGTCACCTTCACCTCCCGGGCTGCATGGCACAGAGAACATCAGTGCTGTGCTCCTGGCCTGGCCCACACCCCAGGGCCCACTCCCATCTACCTTGCACGGTGACCTCGGTGCTTGTCTCTGCACTTCCCGCCTGGCACCTGTAGACACCAGCATCAGCAGGGCTAAGCCTCAGGATGCGTAACTCAGCCATCTGGCCTTCCAGCACCATCTTGAACTTCTCAGATGGGACAAGTGGTGTGGCGTCCTTGTACCACTGCACAGCTTTGGGGGCTGGTCGGAAGTCACAGGACAGCACCACTGACTGCTGCTCGCAGCCTGCCTTGGGCTCCAGTGGCCGCACCAGTGTGACAGGGATGTCTGCAAGCAGGTGGAAAGAGGTGAGGGCTGCAGACACCTTATCCACAGGCCTTTAGATGTCTCCCCCGCACCCCTCCTGCCCTTGCTCACCTGAGACCACTAGATGAGCAGAGGAGCGTGCCTTACCAATGGTAAAGTGCACGGGCCCGGTCATGGTGGAGCAGGTGTGCCGCAGCGCCAGTCGATGCACCGTGCCCTCCTGCTCCAGGCCCACATTCGCTCCTGCCTGCAGCACCGTCTTGCCCAGCAGCCACTTGGGTGGCCGCACAGAGGGGATGGAGGTCTCACACTCAAACCAAGCAGGCGCAGGCTCCATCACTGTCACATCCTGCAGGCCCCGCACGATGGTGATAGACTGCTCTGTGGCCAGTAAGGTATCACGGTCACCACAGGGTTTCACAGGGAAGAAAGCGCCCTCCTGGAGTCCTCTCCCCTGCTATCAGGATGTCCCAGAGGTGGCTGTACCAGGACTTCCAGGACTAGCCATGGCTTATGGACCCCCTGGGGAACCTCATACCTTCCACAAAGAACTGGGCGCTGGTCCTGACATCACCAGCGTCACAGATGTAGATGTCCTCATCCTCAGGCTGCACATTGTGGATGACCAGCTTGCGGTAAAGGCCATCGCTGACCATCTCGTACTTGAGGCCTGGCTGCAGCTCAGTGCCGCCCTTGAACCACCGCACCTGGGCACTGGCCCGGGACACCTGGCACTCGAGCACCCCACGGTGCTTCTCCATGGCAATCTTGTCCCGCAGTGGGCGCAGCAAGGTCACCGGCAGTTCTGTAGCCAGCCAGCCAGAGGGTGTCAGGACAGCAAGCCAAGAATATAGCCTACACCAGAGCTCAGGCACCAAGGGGTTAGGTCCTGCTGTGCCCTACAGCCCAAACCCTTCTCCCAGGTCGGAGCCCTCCAAAGACTGTGCCTCTGCTTGCCAAACCCACACCCTCTCTCCAGACCTGGACACAGCCCAGGATAGGTCACAGCCACCAAATGGGCCCAAGTCCTTACAGCTCCCTCCTGCACTTGCACAAGAGGAGATGCTGCCTTCCTTCCTTCCTCCAAAGACCATGCTGTCCCATGGGCCAGTCCCAAGCCGGCCACCGGTCAGGTCTGAAACCCTCTCTCAGCCCCCTCACCTTTCACTCGGAGCTGGGCTCGAGATTCTGCATTTTCAGCTACAAATCTGATCTCCCCTTCATCTTCCACCAAGACCCTCCGGAACAGGAGGGTATATGTCTTTCCTGGAGATCAAGGTCATTCAGCACCATCAGCAAAGTGATCTCCCCTCCATCAGCAGGGCAGGTCCCCTCCCCTCCTCTCTCCTTCCCCTGACCTCCCTTCTCGTACCTTCCTGGCGGATGCGCACGTTGTCAGTTGGCCGTAGCTTACTGCCCTTCCAGAACCACTGGCCAGGTACTTCGCAGTGGGACACCTCACAGGAGAATGTGGCACCCTCCTTCTCTGTCACCTCCACATCCTCCAGGGCCCTCACAATCTGGACATTTCGGCCTGGGAGGCAAGGGAGGCCCTGTCGTGCCAATAGGCCGGGCACAGCCAGTGACCCCAGCCCAGCACCTAGTCCCATCCCCCAAGTGCAGCCCAGTCCAGCTCACCTTGTACCCTGACAGAGGCAGAGCTCTGAGCACCACCAGCATCACACATGTACACGCCCTGGTCCCCCAGCTCACAGCAGTAGATAACAAGTCGCCTGCAGGTGCCCTGGGCAGTCATGCCCATGGCCTTGCCTGCCCGCAGCTCCACGCCATCCTGCACAAGGCAGAAGCCTAGTCAGCACTGCCCCACCCAGTTATCCAGACACCCGTGGGGGGGGGCGGGGGAGAAGGCACCTTCAGCCAGCGCACAGTGACGTTGGGACGTGACAGCTCACACTCCAGTGTTGTCTTCTCCTTCTGGGTCACCACCACATCCTGAAGCAGGCGGGTGAATGTCACAGGTAGCTCTGAGGGGCAGAAAGAAGGGAAGACAGTGCTAAGTGCCTTTCAGAGCCCCATGGATGCCTGGTAAGAGGACACCTGCTGACACTCACCAATAACCACCAGCCTTGCTGAGGTATGTACACCTTCCGCTCGGAAGGCCACCAGCCCACTGTCCTGGGGCTGCAACCCTGAGAGAGTGAGGCTGTGGACCGGGCCATTCACAGCCAGGTGACATGTGGGTCCTGGCTGCAGCCGAACACCGTCCCGCGTCCAAACACCCTCCACATTGGCATGAGACAGGTGCACCTCCATGGTGGCTGTGCCCTGTTCCTTGGCCTCCACTGCCTGCAGGCCCCGAACCAAGGCAACCTGGCACACTGTGGAGACAGATGAGCGTCTTAGTCCCCCCCTAAAGATCTCACCCCCTGGCTGGGGCCAGCAGCACCCAGGCCCCACAGTGACCCTTCATCGCCCAACCTACCTCCTCCCCTCCCCTCTTCCCAGGTCCTCCTCCTCCCATGGCTCCCCACTCACTCTCCACAGTGAGCTTGGCTTGTGTCTTGTCATCTGGTGTCTCACAGCCATAGAAGCCACGGTCTGCGAAGCCCACGCGGCACAGCACCAGGCGGTGGTGCACACCCTGGGCGTGGATCTCCACATTGTCGCGCGGTTCCAAGACAGCGGCATTTCGCGTCCATTGAACCTGGGGCCAGGGCCGAGACAGCTCCACCTCCATGGTCACGGTGCTCCCTTCCTCCACGGACTGCGGCTCCAGCCTCCGCAGGAACAGCACCGGCGCCTCTGCGCCCAGGCGGGAGTCACTCAGGGAAAAGGCCCAGGTGTGGTTCCCTTCCGGCAGCAGGCGGCTCAAAGCGCCCCTTCCCGCCCTTGCGCCCAAATCTGGGATGGATCCAAAACAATCCCGAGGCACCACACCTCGTGGTGTGGTCCCGACTCTCCCAGTGCAGCGCTGTGTCTAAGCGCGGGTGGCCGACTTCACTCCTCCTCTGCTTCTCCAGGAGGCCTCCCGGGAGCGGCTGATTGCCCCACAGCACCCGCAGATTCGGGTCTTCTCCCCAGCCAGAAGGCCCCGAACCCGACCCGAGTCACCCCCGCCCCACGCGGCTTACCTCGAACTCGCAGAGCCGCACAGCAGGAGGCGCCCTCAGCGCAGGCAGTGATCTCGCCAGCGTCTTCCAGGGCCACGCGCTTCACGGTCAGGAAGCGGCACGCGCCGCTTTGCGACACCATGAACTTCCCACAAGAGTGCAGCGGAACGCCCTCCCGGAACCAGGCGACCTCTGCATCCTCAGGCGATACTGCGCACTCGAAGGTGGCCTCGCCACCCTCTTCAGCCACCACCATGTTCAGCGCCGACGTAAACTTCACTACGCGAGGCGCTGCAGGAGGAGAGTGTGCTGGAGGAGCCCTTGGGGAACCCTATCCTTCGCCCAGAATCCCCACCCCCTGCCAGCCCTGTGTCTCCATCCCCTCTACTGACTCTCTTACCTTGGACATCCAGGTAAGCACTTGTGTGCCCGTCGCGGCTTGCGCAGGTGTACTCTCCAGTGTCCTCTTCGCGCAACCCTGACAAGGTCAGTGAGCGCACTTCTCCCTCCACTGTCATCCGGATCCTCTTGCCTGGTCGCAGCTGCATGTCCCCATGGCGCCACACCACCTCCGCCTGCGCTGGAGTCAGCTCGCAGGACAGCGTCACCGTGCCACCCAGTTCCGCTGTGAGGGGCGCCAGCGGCTTGGAGAACCGGGCAGCCACTTCTGTGGGCACAGGGGAGTCAGCCATGCCCTGAGTCCCCACTGACCTTCTACCCACACTGGGGTGTCCAGGCCCCTGATCCACACCCAGCTCACCTTCCACCTGCACAGGGAAGTCCTGGCGCCTCTCTGCCGCACAGCAAGTGTACACTGCACTGTCCAGCACTTGTGCACTGTGCACAGTCAGGGTGTGGGTGTCACCCACACTGCAACTCTCATGGCGCTTGCTGCGGCGAATCTCCACACCATCCTTCAGCCAGGCCACCGCAGCCGCCGAGGGTGTGGCCAATGTGGCACTCAAGACAATGTCTTCATGTTCCTTGACTACCAGCAGCTCCCTGCGACCTGGCTTCTCAGGGACTTGGTGCTCCGGCTCTGGGGGTGGGGACAATTAAATGTCATGAGCTGAGGACCAGGGTACCTGACTCCCCCAGGCCAGCCCTCACTGTAGCTTCTCCATCCAGTTCTATGTGGAGTCCAGGGCCATGCAAGTCAGCCAAGAGGAGCCCTTGGGACCACCAGCTCTGTCCGAGCCCACAAGCAGACCCTGAAGGGAGGCAGGCAGTCAGGAAGGTAGGGTATCAGGACTCCCACCAGCAAAGGCAAGGTTGGAGGAGGGAGGCTAAGCAAATCACCGCAAGGTGCCATCTGGCAGAGCATTTGAGGACATGAACTTGAGGGGTAGTCAGACCACATCAGAGAAAGGCCAACCAGGAGGCCATAGTGTGGACTGCTCAGGACCCACACTTCCAGAAAGATGCTGAAATACCCTCTTTCTTACAGCATGGTGTTTGAACTGGCACCGTGAAGACTGCAGGACCCTCCTGCCATCCTCCTGAGAAGGACTATGTATAACACACAGGTAGAACCCACAGGAGGTCTGAAGGAGCCTGGAGGGGTGAGGCAGGATGCCAGCCCACCAGGCTACCTTAGTGCAACTCAACTATCAGGTCCCCATGGCAGGGTCAGGGTCCCCAGACTAAGGGGAGAGAGCCAAGGCCAGAAACCCTGGCAGCGGGGGCAGAATCCCAGCAGCCCGTGGCAAGAAGCCAGTCCGTCAGCGAGAAGAGGCTCTGTGCACATGCCCGGTTCAGCCTCCTGCTGTCCACAAGGCCCAGCCTGCACCCCAGCCCACTGTGGTCCACAAGGGGCATGGATGCAAGTGTGACTGACCGCCATGTGGTGTCTAAACACAACTCTGTCTGAATACGTGGCCAGCTACAGGGGTAGGGGGACGCCACCAAGGTCTGTCACTGTCTGTCACCAGCCAGGTTCACACCACCTCCAACAGTTAAGGTGGTACCTACAGGCACTGACCTGTGACATCCAGGTGGAAGGTAATCCTCCGGCCCTCAGCCTCACAGCTGTACTCCCCAGCATCCGCCTTGCCCGCCTGCTGCACCACCAGCTGCCTCCTGCAGCCAGCAGCCTCCATGCGCACCCTCAAGCTCGTGCCCAGCTTCTTCCCGTCCTTGAACCACATCACCTTCGTCTTGGCCTGGGTCACCTCGCAGCTCAGCGTGGCACTGGCCCCCGCCGTTGCCTGCACCTCACTGTGCACTGGCTGCTCCTTGGCAAACACTGCCTTGGGCTCTGGGGACATATGGGAAGATGGGGGTCAGGGACACCACCTGGAGGAAGAAGGCCTGGCCCAGGCAGCTGCAGGACAGAACCTGCGGGCTCTGCCGCACCTGTGGCCCCAGAGGAGTTGCCCTGCCCTTTAGCATGTGCAGCACAATCTGCTCCATGAGGCTGGTCTGAGGACAAGGACAGGGTGTCCCACACAGGCCCCTCAAGGAGGACTTCAGGTGGTGATGTGCACATCTGCCCCTTGGGGAGAAGAAATCTCCAAGGACTGTGCAGAGCAGGACACCTGGGGGTAGTTCTTCCTGTGGTCATCCATCAAATACTAGATCAAATAGTGGCTTCATATGGATTTTCATGTGTAGTACGTTCATCTATTAATTTATCTTTTGTATAAATCTTATCACCTGTGAATTCTACTTTTCTTTTGTTTTTTTCTTGTTGGAATGATCAAAGATGACTTTATAAAGTTTTTCATGACTTCATTCTAAATACACAAAATAAAAAATGGTGTCACCTTATTCATAAGACACCAACCAAATTTTCCTTATACCGTCTCAAAATTTAAAGATAAATTTCCCCAGAGGGTGTGCAATACATCATAAAATCGTCGTTTTTGAGGGGTTTGGGGAAGGACTGGGCAAGATGGCATATTGAATTGTACCATGATAGACATGCAGGACTCAGCCAGTCTCTAGAACTTGTACACATTTTGATGACTTGGAAAAACAAAGCAATCATTGACGAAAGCCTGAAAAGCTTGACATATTTAACACACAGGAGTGCTCTAATTGCACCATGTGGGCCTTTTGAAGAGACAGAGGCTGAACTGAAGGGTGCCTTACCTTAACACGAGGAAAAGCATGTCAGTGCAAAACGGGTTTGCACTGGACTTTTTTCCTACCCATGTGGTATGATATTCGCCTAACATGCTGGTGATGGCTGGCAGCTCTGTGCCACTCTCCACCTCAAAGGCAGTGTGCTGAAGGCCTCACTTGGTCATTTTTGTGCAGTGCTCCTTACAGAGAATCATTTGCTTGCATTTTGTTCAGGATTTCACAGCACATTGATGACACATTTTGTCAAACACTTCTGAATAGCTAGTATTAAATATTAGCAAGTAATTTCTTCTGCATTTTACTGAAGTAATTTCATTATTTTTGTCTAGTCAGATAAATTATTTTTTATACTGATTTTCACCTGCAGGAATACATGGCGTGTATTCCTAAATTGTGATTATCACCACTGCAAATGACCCTGTTACAGATTGCTGAATCTAGCTTGCTAATGACAAGTGGACCTTGATAGTCATAGTACACTGGCTTGAAGTGAATCTTACTTTCTGGCCATGTTTCAGTGTTAATGTATAAGTGTTATGTATTTCAGTATTGAAGCATAAGTAAAATTAGAGAGTTTGCCTCTTTTTTCTGAAATCTCTATGAATATGGAATAATTTACACAATGCTTAGGAATTTACCACTAGAGCCACTTGGCTTTATGTTTTGTTTGGGTTTGTTGTTTGTTTTTCTTTGAGACAGGGCCTCTTTAGGTAGTTCAGATTGTCCTTGAATTCACTATGTAGTGCAGGCTGGCCTTGAACTTGCAGTGACATTCCTGCCTCAGCCTCCTGGGTGCTGGGATTGCAGCTGGTGCCACCACATCCAGCTCCTCTGGGCTTCGCTAATGTTCAGTCACTGAGAAAACCTGAGCCTCCAGTGGTGCTTTCTCACAGAATGTATAGCCATATTGTGTGTTAGCTGTTTCTTCTTAGGTCGGCTTTGATCTAGTTTTTAAGAAACCATATAATTTGTCAAAACTTTTCAAATTTACTTGCATAAAACAATGTCACTTCTACTAAAATGATGTGCTTAGAAATAGAGTGGAGTCAAACATCTGTACAAATCAGTGCAGTATCACATACAGGTAGGGCATCTTATTCAAAATGCTTGGAACAAGATTTTTTATTTCAAAATATTGGTGTGCTTACATACTAAGATTTTCTGGGAGGATAAGAGCCAAGTCTAAACACAAAACTCATTTTGATTTTCTAAACACAAAGGTGGAAGGTAATTTTCTACAATGTTTTTCTTAATTTTGTGTATGAAACAGTGTCCTGTCTAGAATTTTCCACCTGTGTGTCACATCAGCACTCAGGGTGAAATCTCTGATCTTGGAGCAGTTCAGATTTTCAGGTTAGGGACACTGACCACGCGGGCTCCAGCCACTGCTGTGTGGCATGTAGGACCCCTGCTGGACCACAGCCTCCGCTATAGGAAGATTCAGTTCTGCTACCACTAGGAAAACAGAGGGTCGACCAGATGGCTCACGTGGATTAAAGCCCCTGCTTAGGCAGACACTGGGACTGGGCTTTGATCCTCACCCAACTGAGACTGGGCATGGTGGCACACACCTGTAATCCCAGCACTTGGGAGGTTGAAAATGGGAGGATCACTACGAGTCCAATATGTGTAGTGAGAATGGTGAGACCCTGTAGACCCTGCACTAAATACATTTTTTAGAAAGAAAGCTGGCCCCAGACTCTTCTTGGGTCAGCCAGGGAGCCCAGACCACAGAATCATTAGGGAAACACTATGAAGTAAGCACTGCCCTACCAGCCAGTGACTCAGCTTACTGAAGCATGCCACAGTGAGACCAGAGCCACCAAAGCAGGACAGTGGGATGTCAAGAATAAATTCTGGGGGCTAGTGAGATAGCTCAGTGGAATAAGTGCCTGCTTACACAAGTGCAGGGACTGGGGTTCGATCCCTGGAACCACATGCTGCACCAGCCCCGTCCCTGGGCACACAGAGCGGATGACCGAGTCTAGGCACAGTGGCACACACTGTAATCACAGCACTGGGGAGGCTGAAAACAGGAGGATCACTACAAGTGTGAGTGGCATAGTGAGACCCTGCACAAAATACATTTAAAAAAATAAATAAATAAACCCTGGATGCAGAAGGCTACTGCCCTTGCAGCATGACCTGGTTCCCACCAGGAGATCCTGGGAAAGCCACAGACACAGAGCCTTTGCACAGTTGAGAAATTGTTATAAAAAGGAAAAAAAAAAAACCACTAAGCATGTACTCTTATTTCCATTGCGCTCCATAAACTTAAAATCACTAACCTTGACTGGGCAATGCATCCCTAGCTACTCCCATTTCACTAGAGTGAGTCTGTCTAGAGGGTGTTATAGCAACATGGACCTAGGGACCTCAGCCTAACCCAGCAACTCAGAGTATCAGCTTGGTCCCTGCGTCTGCACCTTCTGCTCTGAAGCCCTGCCCACCCCACCCGTGCCAGTGAAGGGGGCCTGTAAGGAAGGATGTGTCATGTTTCTGTTGGAGTGAAAAAGATCCCATCATCCAAACTCAAAAGTACCGTAAGCTACTTATTCCTTTCCATTTCTAAATCTGTACATCACATACTCCAAGTGCAACTGTGGCACGAGGCATCTGAATGGCCTGCGTGTAACTCCATGGACAGCAGTGGTCCAAGCACCAGGCCCTGGGTGCCATTCAGAGTACCACCAAACAAGTACAGAAAGGAGTACGCTCACTGAACACAAAAGAAACCCTGTACCTACTCTGGAAAAAGAACTCCAACCTCACACAGGAACAGCATGTACCCAGCTACCTCTCTGCTGTTCGCTGTGGAAACCTGGATCCAGATGAAGCCATGAACACACTGATTCCACAGGAAATGTGGGCGAAATATTCTAGATAACTAAATATCTAATCCTAAGATCCCCCATGCAGTGTTCAAGATTCCACATAGGACTGGCTGACTGAACTTTGCCTCACCCTAGAGTCCATCGACCAAATCATCTGATGAGAAGAGAGCTCCTGGGGTTGAGGATGATTCAGGGAGCTTTAGCTAACATCAGCCACAGGCACCAGGAGGACTGTGCTGGGGCAGATGTCACATGGCCTTCCAGACACCATCCCTTAGCACACTGGCCCAGACACATGCTGACAGGGAAGATGTGCCAAACCAAGCTCCACTGGGAAAATGCCAAGTTCTGCCATGGTCACCAGCCAGGCTCATACCACCCCCAAAGCTAAGGTAGTACCTACGGGCACTGAGCTGTGACGTCCAGGTGGAAGGAGACTTTCTGGCCCCCGGCCTCACAGCTGTACTCCCCGGCATCCGCCTCGCCCACCTGCTGCACCACCAGCTGCCGCCTGCAGCCCCTGGCCTCCACACTCACCCTCGAGCTCATGCCCAGCTTCTTCCCATCCTTGAACCATGTCACCTCCGTCTTGGGCTGGGCCACCTCACAGCTCAGCATAGTGCTGGCCCCCACTTCAGCCTGCACCTCGCTGTGCGCTGGCTGCTCCTTGGCAAACACCACCTTGGTCTCTGAGGGTACATGGCGACATTGGGTCAGGCCAGGGGACTGCAGGGCAGGAAGGTCCAGACCCAGCAACTATAGAACAGAACCTGCGGGTTGTGGCTCTAACTCACTGTGCTCTGGAGAAGCCCCAGTGCTCCTCAGTGTGAGCAGCACAATCTACCCACACAGCCCTACCAGGCTCTGTGGAGCTCATCAGGGACAGAGTCAGTCTCCAGCACAGGCTCCCCAGGGAGGACGGCAGAGGCGGCATGGCGCACTTGCCCCTCAGGAACCAGGAGTCTCCAGTGCTGGTGGAGGGCACAGGCTCCCACAGGGCTGGACCCTTGAGATCTGTGCACTGCACTTGGAGCTACACCTGCTGTGTCCTTCCTGGTGCCTGAGGGAGGTAGCAATTCTTCACTGTGTTGGTCCCAAGCATCTATACTGTGAACTTACACAACACTCAACACTGTTATCTGCTCTTTTCCTACTTACGTTAGGCATTCTGCATCATTTGTATATAGGCGCTCTGACCACTGTGTGTGTGTGCTGTTCCCTGCTGGGCACTTGCCTTTCTGCCTTTCATGTCCCTTCACATGGAATCAAGCTCCTGGGAGTGGAAGTAGGTCTTTTGTGGTGAGTGAATTTAGATTAAGAAATCTGACTACCCTGA